TCAGCCTCCCACTGAAATTATAGTTGCGAGCCACCTCAATGGGCTTATCAGAGGTTCTAAATCGGAAGAGAGACCAGCTCAGGTTTCTCAAGGTTAATTTGGCAGTACCTGTGAGGGAGGAAACTGAGCAAAAGAAGAGCTGTGTCATGATAAGTAGTTCTGGGAAGGGGTCAGGGGTGTGGCTCAAATGGTAGGGCACTGGCCTGGCAAGCTATAGGCCCTTAATTCAAACCTCAGTATCATCAAAAAAAAAAAGGTCTGGTGAAAACTGATAGAAGTTGGAACAAAAGGAATGTAAGTGAGAGACAGATCGTTCAGAGGACTCGAGAATTGGAGGACCCAAGAACTGACAGTCTGAGTTATGAAAGCAGCACACGCCACCGACTGAGGAAGAGCCCATCTGTGCGCACGCGTGCACGTGCATGACTCATCTGGCCTCAGGACTTCCCCATGTGTTCTCAGCCTAAGATTTATGCACCCCAGTTCTTCAGGGGAATCACCTCTCTTCCATTGGAGCCCCTCACTTCCTATAATCCTTGTGGCTTCCTTGAACCTTGTAGTTTCCTCAGACTTACAGTTCTCAAACCGGAAAAAAAAAAAAGTATTTGCTATGATTTGAATTTGAATGTGTGTGAGTCCCTCCAAAATGTGTATGTTGGAACTTAAACCCCAAGGAGATGGCAGTGAGAGATGAGGCCTGAGCTGGAGCTGTAACTTGGTGGTAGAGGGCAGCTTAGTAACGAGCAAGGTCCTGGGTTCTATCCCCAGCACAAAAAAAAAAGTGAAGCCTTTGGAAGGTAAGCCATAAGGGCTCTACCCCATGAATGGGATTAGTGCTCCATAAAAGGGCTTCCTGGATCTAGTCTGTGTCCCTTTTGCCCTTCTGCCATGAGAATGCAGTGAGAAGATGCATTCTTGTAAGGAGAGAGGTACCACGTATGCTTTGATCTTGGACTTCCCAATCCCCAGAACTATAAGAAATTAATTTCTATTGTATATAAAAAGGGCTGGCAGATTGGCTCAAGTGGTAGAGCACCTGCCTAGCAAGTGTGAGGCCCTGAGTTCAAATCCCATATCATAAAAAAAAAATGAGGACTCTACTGTATATAAATTACCCGGCTAAGATTTTTTTCATAGTACTGGGATTTGAACTCAGGAATTACACCTGGGGCCACCTCAAGGATCTGCTCCATGCACTCTGATGCAGCAGTCCTTAGCCTGCTCCAGCTGTAGCTCAGGTGGGTCCAGGTGCAGCTCAGTCTGCCACTCCAGAGAGCACAGGTGGTTAGCCTTGGTGGCATCCACACAGTGTGAGCTCCGTGTGTGCAGAATGTGTGAGTTGTGGGGGCATAGCTACGCACCCCTGCCTAGACTTCAAAGGATACCCTGGAGAGCCCTGGGGCCCAGGCAGAGAACTGCAGGGGCTGGCCACTGCAGAGTTGCAACTAGGGCAATGCCCAGTGCAGGTGTAGGTGTGGGGCTATCAAGGAAAACCCCTACAAAGGCAATGCCCAGTGGAGCTATGGGGGTAGGATGGGCCTTGAGACTTCAGCCTGGGAGAGCTGCTGGCATGTGACTCCAACATCAAGACCTGTTTGTTACGTGGGCCTTGCCCAGCAAGGCCATTGGGCCCAACCTCCACCCCAGTGTGTCTGGAAAATGGGACATAGAAAATCAAAGATTATTCTGGAGCCTTAGAATTTGATGTTTGCTCTGTTGGATTTTGCATTTGGTTGGCATCTGTCCACCCCACCCCCCCACCCCACCCCGTGCTGTGCATTGAATCCATAGCCTTGTGTATACTAGGACAGAGCTCTAATACTCAAGCCATACCCTCAAACATGATTTGTTTGTTTTTTGGGACTTTTGTTATTGTTGTTTTGTTTTTAATAAATTTCTATTTTTTTGTTTTATTTTCTTTTGGGTTTTTGGCAGCACTGGAGTTTGAACTCAGGGCCTCATGCTTGTTAGGCAAGTGCTCTATCACTTGAGCCATGCCCCCAGCCCTGTTTTTCGGGTCTTGCTATGGAATCCAGGCTGGCCTCGGTCTCCTGAGTGCTGGGATGACATGCATGAACTATCACACCTGACTTTATTCTTTTTCTTTTACTCATTTTTTTTTTTTTTTGGTGCTGGGATTAAACACAGGGTGTTGTTCATGCTAAGCAAGTACTCTACCACTGAGTTTCTCCACCCCTTTATTCTTTTTATTTACACATTTCTGTAGTGTTTGAATTTTTTAAAATTTGTAATTTCAGAACAAAACAAAAGAGTGTGGAGAGGTGTAAATACAAGCTTCTCTATAGCGCACCAATGAAATCAGTCTGAACTATCTTTTTTTTTTTTGTGGTACAAAGATATGAACTCTGCTTTACCCTTGCCTAGACTACACTTGAGCCACACCCCCACTCTAAATTATCTGATCCTAACTGAAAATTTTAAAAAGACTAAGATCTTTTAATTGTCATAGTCACCTTGTCATGGTGCCGCTGTCTGGCAGTAGAGATTGTAGATAATCTGTTTGCAAAAGCCTTCCCCAGGGCAGTGGCTCTAGAAGTGACCTTGCAGGTTGAGCAGGGTTTCCTGGCACAAGAAGATTCTGAAAGGTTTTCCCATAAGCAAATACAGTTCCTCTATTCTGTTATGTTGCTAATATTTTTAAGTTTTGTTTGTTTGTTTCTTTTTTCTTTGTGGTACTGTGGTTTGAACTCAGAGCCTACACCTTGAGCCACTCCACCAGCCTTTTTGTGATGAGCTTTTTTTGACATAGTGTCTTGCAAACTATTTGCCCCAGGCTGGTTTCGAACCACACTCTTCCTGATCTCTGCCTCCTGAGTAGTTAGAATTACAGGTGTGAGCCACCAGCACCTGGCTGTTTGTTTCTTACTTCAGACAGGATCTTGCCAAATAGTCTAGGCTAGACTTGAACTTGCTATTTAGCCCAGACTGGCCTGGAGCTTCCCTTCCTCCTGCCTTGGCTTCCTGAGTGCTGGATTTTTTTTTTTTCTTTTTTTGGCAGGCCTGGGGTTTTGAACTCAGAGCCGCACTCTTGCTAGGCAGGCACTCTACCATTTGACCCACTCCCCCTGCCCTCTGAGTGCTGGGATGAGAGGCGTGCACCTTTACACCTGGCTTTATTTTTTGTTGTTTATTTATTCATTTATTCATATGTGCATACATTGTTTGGGCCATTTCTCCCCCCGCCCCCCCATCCCCTCCCTCTCCCCTCCACTCCCCTCCACCTGGCTTTAAGTGGTTATTTTTTAAATAGTAAAGTTACAATACTCATTGTAAGAAAAAAATTCAGGTCAGATGATAAAGAAATGTATAAACCTCAGTCTGTAGAAATAACTGTTTGTAGAGTTTGCATCTTATTTCAGACCTTTAAAATACTCACACATACAATTTCATTTAATTTTTGAGATTTAATTCACATATCATAGGTCCCCATTTTGAAATATACAATTCAGTGGTTTTTAATATATTCATAAAATTCTACAATAATCACCATTATCTAAATTCAGAATATTTTATCATCCCCAAAAGAAACCCTCTACCCATTAGCAATCATTCCGCATTCACCCATCCTTGGTAACCACTAATCTTCCTTCTGTCTGTATAGATTTACCTATTCTGGACATTTCACTTAAATGAAGTGATACAATATGTGATTTTTTGTGCTTGACTTCTTTCACTTAGTCTGTTTTCAAGGTTTATCCATATTGTAGTGTACACCGGTACTTCTATTTTATCAGCAAATTTGTAGAGATTCACCATTTCTCCAATATTTGTCTGGTACGAATAAGGCTGCTATGAGGGTTCCTGTACAACTTCCTGTACTAATATACACTTTCAACTCTTTGTGATACATACCTAGGAGAGGAATTGCTGGGTCAAGTGGCAACTATGTTTTTTTTTTTTTGGTGGTACTTGGATTTGAACTCAGAGCCTTGCACTTGCTAGGCAGGTGCTCTACTACTTGAACCACCCCTCCAGCTCTGTTTAACTTTTTTTTGAAGCACGACCAAAATGTTTCCGATAGCAGTTGTGCTATTTTACATTCTCAGAGGCATTGTACCAGGGCTCCAATTTCTCAACAACCTCATGCTTCTCTCTCCCTCTTGCTTTTTTTAAATTCTAGCCATCCTGGCAGGTGTGAAGTGGTGTCTCATTGTGGCTCTAATTTGCATTTTTTTTTAGTGACTAATGATATTGAGCATCTTTTCGTGTGTTTGCTGGCCTTTTACATATCATCTTTAAAGAAATGTCTCCCCAAACCCTTTGCTCATTTGAAAAACAGGTTATTTAAACAATAAATAATAAGGGCGGGGGAGTGTGTAGTTCAGTGGCAGAGCACTTGCCTACCAAATACGAGGTCTCGGTTTAATCCCCAGCACTGCAAGGTAAAAATAAATACATAAATAAATAAAAAAAAATTAAAAACAAAAAGAAAATAAATAAAATCAAATAGAATTTAAAATAGGCTGTCTTTTTATTGTCAAGTTAAAGGTTCTTCTATATTCTGGACGCAAGTGCCTTACCATATATGTGACTTGCAAATATTTTCTCCCATTCTATGGATTCTATAGGTTTTTAGAACCAAAGTTAATTATGAAATTCACTGTCCTGTAACTAGCAGTATATCATGGGCATCATCGGATGTCAAGAGAAGGCTAGGTCGTTTTTCCCTGTCTTCTTTTTTCCACCCTCATTCTTTTTTGTGGCTACATAACATCTTATCACGGTTGTACCAGTTTCTTTGACCAGCCTTCTACTGGGCTTTGAAGAGTCATCCTTTGGCGAATTGGTGAGAGACCATACTGCAGCTGCTCTGGGGCCAAAGCAGTCATCTAACTACCATGCTGTCTGCTCTTAGATGTAAAAATGCAAGTAGGCAGAGGAAATGTCTCTGACCTACTTACTTCCTTTCTGAACTAGTGGTTTCACAACCCCTACAGACACCTCCCACCCCCACCCAGTGTCACCAGCCTGGTGCCTCTGTGAGACAGTCCCATTGCAAGAGGCCCCTGGGCATTGCCATTTTCCTCTTTCCCCTGTCTAGGTTGCCAGCAAATCTCAAAAGCCCTCTGAGAGACTGAGCCGTGGTTCCCAGGTCCCTCCAGCTCCGGAAAGATGAATTCCTATGTCACCATGATGAAGCTGCTGCTGTCTGGGCCCTTGCTGTTCGGTAGGAAATCAGGGGAGGAAGGGGAAGGGACATGTGTCTGGGCTTTGTAGAGAAAACTTGGACTGCTCTAAAGATGCAGCTGGCATAGCAGGACCCAGGAATCCTGAGGGGAGGAGGAAGAAAACAGAGAGAAAGAAGCCAGCTCCCAAAGCATTGGTAGTGTGGACACAAAGACAGAGAGGGGACACAAAGGCAGACATGAAGCCAGATATGGTGATGCAAGTCCTTTCCCCTTTTCGGGTCTCCCTCCCTTCAAATGAGCAAATAAAGGTGCTCACATCCCTGACAGCCCAGGATGCCAAGAGTCAGAGGCCTGGAAAGACAGCAGGACCAGGAAGGGCAGTTTGACATTTTCAGATGATGCCCAGGCTGCCTGAGATAGGGGATGGAATGGGGGGATCTGAGATCTAAAGGTTCAGGGAGCGTTGCGTCCTTGGTGGCGAGGGGTGATGGAGCTCGAGATGAGTGGGGCGCAACCTCATGGGGAGAGAAAGGGAAACTTGAGCCCCTGGGGCTGATCATTTGCCTTCCCAGGGGCCTGGGCCCCCTGACCACGGGAGAAGTGGGTGTGTGAGATGGTGCAACCTACCTTGGGGCGTCCCCATCTGGGCTCATGCCTGAGAACCTGGTCACCCGGGATCTCAGGGCCCCTTCCGTCAGCTCCTCTCTCACGGCCTCCACCTTCTCATCCTGCCTTCTTTGCCGATAGCAAAAGAAAAGTACGTCCTCTTCTTTGGGAAGACCCGCCAGTGCCTGGGGTGGCAGGGAGAGCCACTTCCTAACCCCCAAGGTCAAGGCCCTCGAGGGGAAGTCCAGCCCCTGTCCAGGGCGCAGGGTGTGGGCGGCCTGCTGGGCGTCTGCGGGTTCTGGGAATCAGGCACGCGGGCAGGGGCCAATCAGAGCCCGCACTCTCGGTGCGAGGGGGACATAGGGGTCACGTGCTGCGGGGTCCTGACCGGAAGCAGCTGACCTCCCTCGCCTCTCTCAGCGCTCGCCTGTGGCTACAACCTGGATGTGCGGCACGTGCAGAGTTTCTCCTTCCCACACGCCGGGAGGCACTTTGGGTACCGTGTCCTACAGGTCGGAAACGGGTGAGCTGTCACCTCCTCAAGTCCTCACTGCCCTTCAGAGCGCGGGATGAAGGCCCCATGGTCCCCCAGGTGCATCCAGAGGCACATCAACCATCCCCTGCAGTCCAGTGAGCAACACATGGCAAACATTCTCTAGACACAGGAGCAAAATTGTCAAATAATAAGTGTCCAACTGGAGAAGCAATCCAGCCCCTGAAACACTCCACATCACGTTCTCAGTTTGTTTTTTTCTTTTTCAGATAGGGTCTTCCTATGTAGACCAGGCTGTTCTCAAACTTGCAGTCCTCCTGCCTCATCCTCCCTAGTGCTGTTATTACAGTTCTGCATCACCACACCCACCTTTGTCCTAGGGTCTTGACTCTACATGAGTTCTGTGAAGCAGGGATTTTTGCCTCTTCCCTCTTCCTAGTCCCACCCCAGCCACAAATAGCTTTTGAATTAATGACCGAATGAATGACTCATTCTGGCAGATCATTCTCTGGGCCTCAAGTTTTCTAGGCTGCAAATGGAAAGAACTTTCTAGAATTCTATCATACAGGTATTTCTGTGGGATTCAGTAGGGAAGAGCTCCCCCGAAGAGCAGTGGTTGTATTGCTTTGAGATATTTGATGGGGGCCTGAGACCCTTAATAGGCAGGAGTAGGCTGGAAAAGACCTGTGCGGCTCCATCTCACAGGTGAGGTTTCTTATTAGGGTTATTGTAGGAGCTCCAGGTGAAGGGAACAGTACTGGAAACCTCTATCAGTGCCAGCCAGGCCTGGGACACTGCCTACCCGTCAGCCTGAGTGGTGAGTATATAGTGAGGGAGCTGGGAGGAGACCAGCATACATACCTGGATTGCCAGAATTCTTCAAACCAATCTTCTGGTGCCTACAGGTTCCAACTATACCTCAAAGTACTTGGGAATGACCTTGGTGACAGACCCCACAGGTGGAAACCTTCTGGTAAGGATTTTGTGTCGTGGTGATGCCAGGTACCTGTGAAACTCAATACTAAGAAAGAGAGATTGAAAAAAGGTAGGGGGAAGGGCTGGGGATGTAGCTCAAGTGACAGGCACTTGCCTAGCACGTGTAATGCCCCAGGTTTGATCCCCAGCACCACAAGAAAGAAAACTTCTTGTCTGAAAAGACAGAAAAAGAAATAGATAAAAGATTTCATAGATGCAAGGCACCAGTGGCACATATCTGTAAACGCAGTTGCTTGGGAGGCTGAGATTGGGAGGATCATGGTTGAGGCCAGCCTGGGCAAATAGTTCACAAAATCCTCATCTCCAAAATAATGAGCAAAATGGACTGGAGACGTGGTTCAAGTAGTAGAGTGCCTGCTTTGCAAGCCAGAAGCCCTGAGTTCAAACCCTAGATCCTTCAACCGCTCCCCCCCCCACAAAGATCCCATAGAAGGTTAAAGGCATCAGAGATTCAGATTCAATCAGTGTTTAATGAGAACCAACTATGAACCAGGTATTTTCAAGACACTACTTACTTCAGGGTTGTTTTTTGTTTTTTGTTTTTTTTCTTTTCCAAATATAAAATACAGCCAGGCACCAGTGGCTCACACCTGTAATCCTAGCTATTCAGGAGGCAGAGATCAAGAGCATCACGGTTCAAAGCCAGTGCAGGCAAATAGTTCACAAGACCCTGTCTCAAAAGAAATCACAAAAAATGGCTAGTGGAGTGACTCAAGGCATAGGCCCTGAGTTCAAGCCCCAGTATGGCAAAAAAAAGAAAAAGAAAAAAAAATACCTATCATCATTAAAAAACAATATGATTTTTGGTGATATACTTACTTTTAATGTTCTGATAGTTATCTATTTATATTTAGGTTTTGTTTTGTTTTGAGATAGGGTCTCAATACATAACCCAGACTGGCCAGGAACTCACCATGGATTTAGACCATGCTGGACTTGAACTGTGATCATCCTGACTCTGCCTCCTGAGTGCTGGAATTACAGAAGTGACCCACCATGCCTGGGCTTATCCAGTGTTTAATTGCAGCTTAACTTTTTTTTTTTTTTTTTTGCTATATGGGGCTTGAACTCAGGTCTACACCTTGTGCCACTCCACCAGCCCTATTTTTGTGAAGGTTTTTTTTTGAGATAGGGTCTCATGAACTATTTGTCTGGGCTGGCTTTGAACTGCGATCCTTCTGATTTCTGCCTCCTGAGTAGCTGGGATTACAGGCATGAACCACCAGACCTGGCATTAACTTATATACCAGGCCTTGTGCTAGATACTGATGGAGGGAGAGATTCAAGATTAAAAAAAAATGACCTGTCTAGAAACTGCAGGCTGGAGGCATGACTCAAGTGGTAGAGGACTCGCCTAGCAGGAGGTCCTGAGTACCACCAAACCCTGGTACCACCACAAAAAAAAAAAAAAAAAAAAGAAAGGCAAGGGGCTGGAGGCATGACTCAATGGTAAAGAACCTGCCTATAAATTGTAGCCTGGCAGCAAAGATAGCTATAAATGAAAGATTATGCTTCTCATAATCTAGGAAGTGTGAGTTTTGAATTTGGTTTATACAGAATGTGTGATCAGGAATGAAGAAGATGGACCTGGAAACGTAGGCCAGTGCCCAATTGTAAACTGTACAAATGAGGAATGAAGGCATTGAGATTTTATTCCATAGATAGGAAGCGTTCATGGCATAGCACATTGGTGGTAGGGATGAGAAGATGGATATGGGAGATCCAGTAGGGGCAGAATTGCCTTGCTTTGGTAAACATCTAGATGTAGGGAGTAAGGGAGGGGACAGGATTCTGAAGGGTCCTTTTGCTTTGCTAATGATGCCCAAAAGATACATAACAAGGGGAAACCCCAACCCTTTTTCCTTTGCTTTCTTCAGGCCTGTGACCCTGGGCTGTCTCGGACGTGTGACCAGAATACCTATCTGAGTGGCCTGTGTTACCTCTTCCCCCAGAACCTGGGGGAACCTGTGCTGCAGGGACGTCCTGGCTATCAGGGTATGGAACTGGGGGACCAGTGGTAACAGTATCTCTAAGTAGCTTCCCCTCTATGAGAACCAGCGGGTGGGCCAAACACTGCAGACATGTCACCAGGTCCCTTTGCATCTGGCCTCTGCAGAATGTATAAAGGGCAATGTGGACCTGGTGTTTCTGTTTGATGGCTCACTAAGCTTGCAGCAAAAGGAATTTGAGAAAATCCTGGACTTCATGAAGGATGTGATGAGGAAACTCAGCAACTCCTCCTATCAGGTGACTATGCTAGTTAATGTCCCTGGTAACAGATGGTCGGTGATTACCTGAACTGGCTTAAGCCATTAAAGGAAAACCTAGCACAGCATATGTCTTTAAAACTTATGGGCAGCTATAACTAGACCTCAGACCCGGACAAAACTTGGACCAGACGAAGGGTTCTAGAGTTTTCTCTAATTTTCATTTCTGCTTTTTTCTTGTGCTTTTGCTTTCCTCTTCCCTTTCTCACTCCTTTTGTAGGCTGCTCCCTTAGCTCCTTTGGATCACATAGGCCTGTGAGAAGCTCCTAAGTTCAAGTGTCAAAGTTCCACAGGAGAGCTTAGCCTCCTCTCAACCAACTCCTCCCTCTGCTCACTCCAGATTTTCAGAGCAGAGACCATTCCTGGCCCAACCAACTGTGTCCAGTTTAACAAGGTCACTGGGAGCCATCCCTACTGGTAAAGGAGGCAGGCCCAGAGACCAGGAGCTTAGCACACAGCACTGAATCAGGAAGCAGAGGTTTCTTTAATTTTTGTTTCATTTCCCAAAGAATGGTTTGAGGCAAGGATGTGGAGTTGGCTTGCTGAGGTCCTGCATAAGACGTGGAGATTAGGAGGGGACGAGCAGGAAGGGACATGTGACTACATAGCTTTTCTTTCTTCCTCTCCTAGTTTGCAGCTGTGCAGTTTTCCTCCTACTACAAGACGGAATTTACTTTCTTGGATTACATTAGACTAAAGGACCCTAATGTTCTGCTAGCCAACATAACCCACATGCGCCTGTTAACCAACACCTTCGGTGCCATCAACTATGTTGCGTGAGTTCCCTTGTAGGGAGAGATCATGCCCATTCACTTGGTCTGAATGAGCTAGTTTCTTCCAGTTGCATGGTGTAGGAACTCAGTAGATTGGTATTGTGAGGGGTGGTTTATTGCATAAATTCAACTGGAGATCAGGGTGTGATAGTACATGCCTATAATCCCAGCACTCAGGAGGCTGAAGCAGGAGGATCGAGAGTTCAAAACCAGCTTGGGCAATATAGTGAGACCCTGTTAAAAACAAAAACAAAAATCCCTGAAAACCTACCTTGAACCAGGCACAGTGATACATGCTTGTCGTTCCAGCTACTCTGGAGAGTGAAGCAGGAGGATCACTTGAGCCCATGAGTTTGAGATCAGCCAGGGCAGCAGAGCAAGATCTCATCTCAAAAGCAAAAGAAAAATAAAAACCTCCCTTGAAACATTAGAATGGTCAGGGAACTGAGACTGATTTGGGGAACAAGGGAATTTATGTCTCCCATCTCATCTCCTGTCCCCCTGGGACATGTATTCAATTTGTGTGACATAGCAAGAAGAACTTCCTGCATTATTTGACTTGTCTTTCTCAGTTTCTCTTCTTTGCCAAGCATGTGTGGTTGAATTTAAGGTAAGCAGCACACAGTGTTTCTCTCAAAATTCTCCACATGTGTTTTTCCTGCTATTTCTTCTGGCGCTCACTTGATCTGCCATATCTACTTCATTCTCTCTGTAGACATCTGTGATGGGTCAAGCCACATCTGTTTGACAACTGGCAATTTTAGTTCCTCAACTCAGATGAACAACCTAAGTTCCACTTTCTAGGAGAGAAAATCTGATTGGATAAACTTGGGTTGGATGTCCAAGGTCCAACCCAGCTATGACCTGGATCTATTTTATGGTGCAGTTCCATGGCATCGGTGTGGATGAGGGCCTCTCACCTCTGTGGGAAGGGGTTTTAGAAAAAGCTCTTTTCAGCTGGGCACAGTGCTTATGCCTGTAATCCCAGCTACTCGGAAATTGGAGATAGGAGAAGAGCCAACCTGGGGAAAAAGTTAGGGAAATCCTGTCTCAAACAAGCCAGGCATGATGGTTCATGTCTATAATCCCAGCTTCATGGGAGGCAGAGGTAGGTAGGAGGATTAGGGTCCAGGGCTGACCCCAGACAAAGCTTGAAGCCCTGTCTGAAAAATAATTAAAGCAAAGGGATTGAGACCATGGTTCAAGTTGTAGAGCACCTGCCTAGCAGTGGGAGATCCTGAGTTTAAACCCCAGTACTGCTAAAAAGAAAAAAGAAAAGAAAAAAGAATGAAAAAGCTCTAAGTTCTTAGAGGAAGATGTCACCACAGGGTGAGAAGACACTCTGAAAGGTGTCAGTTGTGGAAGCAAAAAGAAGCATTCACAGAAACACTTCTGACCACCTGACTTTGTACGGGACATGTTCTAAATCAGGAATCAAGTCACCTTCTTTCTTTTTTTTTTTTTTTTTGGCAGTCCTGGGGTTTGAATTCAGGGCCTCACGCATGCTAGGCAGATGCTCTACCACTTGAGCCACTCTACCAGCCCTACCTTTTTTCTGTACAAGGCCAGATAGTAAATGTTTTCAGCATTTCCAGCCAAGTATGGCTTCTGTATTTGATTTTATAATCCTTAAAAAATATAAAAACCATTCTTAGGAGCTACCAGGGTGGCTCAAGTGGTAGAGTGCCTGGCTAGCAAGTGCAAGGCCATGAGTTCAAACCCCAGGACTGCCAAAACCATTTTCAGCTCATAAATCTTACAAAAATAAACTGCAGGCTGGGTTTAGCTGGTGAATTGTTGTTTACTGTGTTCTAGGCACTGGGGAAGATAGCAGTGGATGAAACAAAGATCTCTGTCCTCTTGGGAGAAATGTAATAACAGAATAAATAAGTTAGATAATAGAGTAGAAGACACAAGTTTTTTGGTATTACTGGGGTTTGAACTCATAGCCTAGTGCTTATTAGAGGTGTTTTACCACTTGAGCCACTCAGCCAGCCCTTTTTTGTGAAGGTTGTTTTTTGTTTTGTTTTGTTTTGTTTCGAGATAGGGTCTCATGAACTATTTGCCTGGGCTGGCTTTGAACCATTATCCTTTGCCTCTTGAGTAGCTAGGATTACAGGCATGAGCCACCAGTGCCCAGCTAAATGTGCTTTGTGTTAGTCAGCTTTCTGTTACTGACAAATACCTGAGATAATCAACTTACAAAGAAAAAAGGTTTATTTGAGCTCACAGTTTTGGTGACTTTTTTTGGTGGCACTGGGCATTAAACCCAAGGTCTTCACACATGCTAGTCAAGCACTGTACCACTGAGCTACACTCCCCACCCTGATCTCACCACGGTTTTAGAGGGTTCAGTCCGTGATTGTGCACACTGTTGCTTTTGGCCTGTGGTGGCTCACCATGGCAGGAGTGCATGCAGAGCAAAACTACTGACCTCCTGGCAGCTGGGAAGCAAAGGGAGGGGAAGGTGCCAGGGTCCCACTGTTCCCTTCAAGGGCATGTCCCAATGACCTAAAGACATCCCTCTAGGCCTCACCTGTTAAAGTTTCTCCCACCACCCAATAATGCCACACTGAGCTGGAGGTAGAGAGCCTGCCTAGCAAATGTGAAGCCCTGAGTTCAAATCCCAATATAGCCCAAAAGTTTTCAAAAGATCAAAATAAAGTATGTCCCAATAACACTACACTGGATACTAAGCCTTTGACACAGGAACCTTTTGAAGACACTTTGAGAACCAGTCTGTGGCATGCTTGAAATGTTCAGGAAGAACCAGGATCCTTCCAGGAGCAGGGAACTAGGTGAGGTTGGAGACGTGATGGAAGCTGAGCTGAGCAAGGGGCTTGGAGACTATAGCAGGGACTTGACTTTGCCTTTCATTCTCTCATTCTTAATGGGAAGTCATTGGATGTTAAGCAGAATGGTGATGCTCTGATTTATGTTTTCCAAAAAAAAAAAAAATCCCTCTGGCTATTATAAAAAGAAATTTAAATTTAAAATAAGATCCCTCAGGCTGCAGGGCTGATAGTAGACCATGAAAAGGGTAAGAGTAGATTCCAAGTGGCCAGCTAGGAGGCTATTGCCAACTCCAGATGAGGGATGATGGTGGTTTAAGCCAGGTAGAAATCGATGACAGGTCCATATCCTTGTGGATGGAGTTAGAGAAACCTTTTATGTCCACGCTAGAACCATAGGTTATGACAGCAGGCATCATGAGCCAATGGTTCAGACAGCTGCCATTCCAGCGAGCACTGTGGGTTACGGTGGGTAACCTGACTTGCTCAGAAGGTGGGGTGGACAGGGTAGGAACATTGAGCCTTGGTCTCTCCAGTATTCATCTCTTGCTTCTTTCTTTTCTCTCATGTGTGCTGAGTTCCTGCCCTGTGTTGAGAGCCAAAGATAGCAGTGAATGAAACACGGGTTTTTTGTTTTGTTTTGTTTTGCAGTACTGGGGTTTGAACTCAGGGCCTTCACTTTGAGTCTCTCCACCAGCCCTATTTTGTGATAGGGTTTTTCAAGATAGGGTCTCGAGGAACTGTTTGCACAGGCTGGCTTCGAACCGCGGTCCTCCTGATCTCTGCCTCCTTGTAGCTAGGATTACAGGCGTGAGCCAGCAAAACATGGTCTTTTCCTTGAACTCAATCGACACCAATACAGGCCACTTAGATTCACCAGGTTAATTGATGCAGCTGAACTCTATAAGCAGTGGGGGCAGAGTGGGGGGGTCTTTCTACTGAAAACACTTGCTCTGGAAGAGTGACTCCCGGTTTTCCTTGGTTGTGGAGCCCTTCTTTCCCACTGAAACCTCACCTAGACACACATTTCTAGCGAGTTAAAGGGTGGTTGCTGTGTGGGTAGATGGAGCCCGCAGTCACCCTTCACTAAACCTCACTTCACTGCCCATGAGCTAGAGTCCCCTCTGGGCTGCCCAGGACACAGTGTGAAGACCAGTGGTCCAGAGGGAGGGGACAAGAGCCTCAGGATGGAGACAGGCGGTCAGAGGAGCATGCCAAAGGCTTGGAATTCCTGCCTGGGGGTTGTCAGAAGAACTTTTGCATAATCAGCAGGGTGGTGTTTTAATGAGCAAGCAGGGTGTAGGGGACCTCAGGCCCTGGTTTGGGGTGTGTCTTTCACATCCCTCCTTTCCTGGACATAGAACTCAGGTGTTCCGGAAAGAGCTGGGAGCCCGGCCAGATGCCACCAAAGTGCTCATTATCATCACCGATGGGGAGGCCACTGACACTGGCAACATTGACGCAGCTCAAGACATCATCCGTTACATCATTGGGGTATGGCCGCCGGCCCCTGCTGCTGCTTATGTCTCAGCTTTCCTATTTCCAAGCCCCAGTCCCCTTTTGCCCTGGGTTGAGGTCTTGTGACAAGCTGATGTGAGACTGGGAGAGGCCAGCTCTGCACTCTTTTCTTCCTCACAGATCGGAAAGTTTTTAAGTACCACACAAAGTCAGGAGACACTCCATAAATTTGCCTCAAAACCCACAGAGGAGTTTGTAAAGATTCTGGACACATTTGAGAAGCTCAAAGATCTATTCACAGAACTGCAAAAGAAGATCTATGTCATTGAGGGTGAGTGCCAGACCCTGGGAGAGAGTTTCAGAGTTTGTATTAAAAAACTCCCCAGGGACCTGGGGGCGTAGCACCATGGTAGAGTGCGGGCCTAGCATGCGTGAGGCCCTGGGTTTCATCCCAGCACTGAAAGAAAACAAAACAAATCTCACCAGCTAGAGGTACACTGAATTATACCAAGCACAGGGTATCTGACACTGTGCTAAGTACTCACCTAAGACAAAAAAATCACCTCAAGGAGGAATTTAGGAGCAGGAGATGCAGGTGCGGATTGTAATGTTGCGTTTCTGTCTGAAATTCCAGTTTCCTCTTGATGCTCAGCTTGATCCAGGATGGGGCCCAAACTGTCCTGTGTGTTGTGGGTGTCTTCTGAGCCCTGGAGGATAACTGTGAATTTCTTTCTTCTTCTTAGTCCTCATTTTCACCTGTCTTAGGCCTCACATTACTTCAGACGGGCAAGCTGGCAGCAGCTGTGTGGAGCCCACATGAGCTCTTCCTCAGCCTAGAAGAAAAGGTTTTTTGTTTGTTTGTTTATTTGTTTTGGTAATACTCAAGTTTGACTCAGGGCTTTGCATTTGCACTCTACCACTTGAGCCACGCCTCCAGTCCTTTTTGCCCTGGTTATTTTGGAGATGGGGGTCTCGCTTTTTGCCCAAGCTGGCTTCAGCTTTGATCCTCCTATTTTACTCTTCCTGTTGTCACTAGGATGACAGGCACAAGCCACTATGCTCAGATTTTCTACATTGACATGAGGTCTTACAAATTTTTTTTTTTCCTGGACTGGAACTCCGATCCTTCTAATCTTGTTCTCCCACATAGTTAGGATTACAGATATGAGCCACTGGTGCCTGGACAATAGGTTTTTATTGCACTCACCAGATGGAGGACTGGTGATGGGGGCATTTTTCCAGGCAACCTTGTCTGCTGCAAGATACATGATTCCAGAGAAGTCCCTTCTGCCAGGTGCAGCCTTGGCATTCAGCTCAGCTGAAGATGCAGTGTGATACGTGGGATGGAACCCAGCAGACCTGTTCAGGAATCCACTCCGTCTCTTGCTTATTGTGTGACCTCAGCCAGATCACTCCCTTCTTTGAGGCTCATGGTTCTTTTCTATTCATACCAGCTTCTCAGGGATGTGAGCTTTAGCTGCTATGTTAGTTCCCAAGGGCTGCTGTAACCAAGTACCAAAGATTGTATGGCTTAAAGCAACAGACATTTGTCACCTTGATGTTCTGGTGGCTAGAAGTCCAAAATCAAGGGGTTTGTAGGGTCGTGATCTTTGTAATGGTTCTAGAAGAGAGCCCTTCCGTGTCTTTTTTGCCTCTGGTGTTTTTGGTTTTGTTTTGTTTTGTTTTTTCAGCAGTACTGGGGTTCGAACTCCTGCTTCTGGTGTTTACTGGCCCTCCTTGGCATTCCTCCTCTTGGAGGTGCATCATGCCAGTCACTTGGCCATCTCCCTGTGTCTCTTCATGTGCCCTTTCCTCTGTGTGTATCTGTCTCTGTTTCCCCTTTTACAAAAACACCAGTTGTACTGATCAGGGCTCGGCCTAATGACCTCATTTGAACTTGATTATATTACCACTGTAAAGACTATTTCTAAATCTGTCAAGCTGAAGTGTGAGGTCTGTCATGGCAGGTCTGGTTATTCACCATTTGTATCTCTGATATCAGATACTCCACTATTCTAAATATTTATTCAATGAGTAGACAAATGACCATATTTGCTATGTTTCTTGAAAACTTATGTGAAAGAAGCACGTTATCTTTATTATTTAAACCATTTATCTTGGCATCTTTGAAAGGTTGGTGGTATTAGTTCCATTTTTTTGAAATTTTCTTTTTTGGTGGTACTGGAATTTGAACTCAGGACTTCCCCCTTGCTAGGCATGCACTCTACCACTTGAGCCATGCCTGCAGTCTTTATTGTCATTTTTTTATTCATGCTTTCAACAACCACGTCCCAGTCTCTGTGAAGAAAATACTCAGGGATATTGAGAGTACAGCTCATACTCACATTGGATAAAGAAAGGTGGTAAACAAGAAAACAAACATGATCATTAAAGATTGTGACAGCCAGGCACTGGTGCCTATAATCCTAGCTACTCAGGAGGCAGCGATCAAGAGGATCGCAGTTTGAAGCCAGCCTTGGGCAAATTGCTGGGGAGACCCTGTCTCGAAAAAAAACAGCACAAAAAAGGACTGGCAGAGTGTCTCAAGTGGTAGAACACCTGCCTAGCAAGCGTGAGGCCCTGAGTTCAAACCCCAGTGCCGAAAAAAAAAAAAAAGATTGTCACAAATGCTATGAAGAGAATGAATGAAACAATGAGATTGGGGTAAATAGAGGAAGCAGAGCGCTGCTTGCCACTTTGGATAGGCTTTTGGAGGCAGACATTCCTGACTTTTTGTTGAGGGTAGGGTGCAGGGGATCAAACCTAAGGCCTCACATTTGCTGGGCAGGCCAATAAGATAAAATACACCCTGAAATGACTTTTGAGCTGAGACATGAAACATGAGAATCAAGCAACAGGTGAGGAATGTTGACAAAGAACATTCCATTCAAGGGCTGGCAGAGTGGCTGAAGGTCTAGATGCCCTGAGCTCAAACCCCAGTCCCACCAAAAAAAAAAGGGGTAAGTGCAAAGGCAAGGAGATTGACAAGGGTATGTTAGAACAGAAAAAAGTGGATGCACTGTGTATAGTAGCTCACATCTGTAATCCCAGCTACACAGGAAGCAGAGATTGGGAAGATTGAGGTTCAAGGCCAGTTGAGGCAAAAAAAAGTTAGTGAGACCCCATCTTAATCAATAAACCGAGTGTGGTGGCACGTCTGTGATCCTACCTACAAATGAGGCCTTAGGTAGGAGCATCAAGGAGGCTGGCCCCAGGCAGAAATGCAAGACCCTACCTGAAAAATTGTTAAAAGAAAATGGACTGTGGGTGTGGCTTAAGTGGTAGAGTGCCTGCCTAGCAAGCATAAGGCCTTGTGTTCAAACCTCAGTATCCTCTGCCCCCCCACAAAAAGTGGATGTGAGAGGAGAGAAATGAGGAGATTGGGACCTTCCAGACTCTCCAAAGAATTTGTATTTTAGTATTAGAAGCAGTGGGAAATAATGACAAGACTTTTATTATTTTATTTTATTATTTTTTGTTTGTTTTTTCTTTTTTGTGACAAGTCCTTTAAGAGAAGGAAAGGTATGGCCTGATAAACGTCTTTTAAAAAATAGGTACTCTGACTTGCTCTATGGAAAGAAAGCATGGTAAGAATAGAGTAAGAGATCAAATTAGCAAGCTATTGCTTAATCAGGCAAGAGATGAGGATGGTCTGGCCCCAAGTGAGGCAGCACAGATTATTCAGAGAAGGGGACAGATGTCTTGAAGATGAACCATCACAATTTGGTGGCATGCTGGAGATATGACAGGGTTCTTTCCCAGATTCTTAGCAGCTTCCTTACGTGGGAATGCCATCCATGGAAGTGGGGAGCCTGAGTCAAAGCGGCAATTGAGGGCTATATCTCAGGACTGCTAAGGTGGAGGTACAAGGACTCCTGTAGTTGGACAAGGGACAGCCCACTCAGCATTAGGCCACACCTCTCATCTTTCCAACTGTAATGCCCACCTTCCTGCTTTTACTGTGTTCCAATCAAATGCTGTGTTTCCTTCCCAGAGCCCCACGAGGGTCACCGTTCTGTTGCTCTGTGGATCTCAGCCTGTTCTCCCCTCCTTTGTCCTCCAGGCACCAGCAAACAGGACCTGACGTCCTTCAACATGGAGCTTTCGTCTAGTGGGATCAGTGCAGACCTCAGCAAGGTGCGTGGTGGCCTGAAGTGATGAGCTGAGGTATGTTGTGGGGATGTAGCTGGCTCAGAAGGGTTCCAACCCTTATCTCCTTCCCTGGGCAGGGCCATGTGGTCATAGGCGCAGTTGGAGCCAAGGACTGGGCCGGGGGCTTTCTGGACCTGAAGGCAGACCTGCAGGATGAGATCTTTGTTGGCAATGAACCCCTGACAGCAGAGGCAAGAGCAGGCTATTTGGGTGAGTACTTTTCTTTTTTTTGCTGGGTTCTTTTGGTTGAAGGGGCCAGGAAGTAGCCTGGCTCTCAAAATAAAAAAGCAATTAATCAACCAACATAAACAAACTCAGGGTTTAAATATGGTTCAAACATTCTTAATTTTTCCTTAATAACTGCTCATCTGTGTATTTTTCATTTCTCTATTTTCTGATGCTATGGCATCTTGGGGCCCTGCTAATCCTGGAGAGATGGCCCCTCCCAGAACAAGCTAATTCCCCAGAGATAGTGCAAAGCTTACCTGGGCTAGAAGGAAAGAAGGAAAGAAGGGAAGAAAGGAAGGAGAAAAGAAAGATTCATAGAGGAAATGAAGAGTCTGGTCAACCTACAATTGCTATTGCATATATCTGCCACACGGTGGCACTGTTGAACACTATTTCTGCACAGTTTTGTGGAGCTGGTCCACCCAAGGTGATGCATTGTCAGGCAGTGGTGGGGCCTCACGCTGTGCTCTGAGGTTACAGCTCTCAGTTCAGTTCATACGGTCAGTGTGCCCCAAGGCATGAGCTGCTCCAAGAGCCCTGGGCTAGAGCTGCTTTCAGTTATGAGCTTCTCAGGGAACCACCTTCTTCTTCCACCCCCCTCCATAACTACTGCGTAGGAGTGGCCACTCCTCTGTTAAATTCTCAGAATACAAAGGTCTTATTGACCTTTTCCTCAGAAAAATTGGTGCTACTTCTCTTGTATCTGTACTTCTAAAGGACCTAAAACATAGTGATTTTCTTTTCTGCTTTGGACATTTTTTTATTGAGCAAGTACTGTGCTATACATACACCTGGTATACAATAATCCCAGCACTAGAGAAGGAGAGGCAGGAGGATTGAGAGTTCAAATCCAGCCTGAGCCACACAGCAAGATCCTGTCTCAAAAAACAAAAAGAGGCTGGGCATAGTGGCTCATGCCTATAATCCCAGCAACTCAGAAGGCTGAAATTGGGAGGATTTGAGGAAACCTGGGCAAAAAGTTAGCAAGACCCCCCCCCAACAAAAAAGCTGGGTGTGGTGACACATATGTGTCATCCCAGCTAAGTAGGATGATTGAGTCCAGGCCATCTTAGACACTATCTGAAAAATAACTAATGCAAAAAGGGCTAGGGAGTGGCTCAAATGATAGAGAGCCTGCCTAGCAAGCATAAGGCCCTGAGTTCAAACCCCAGTATACAAAAAAAAAAAAAAAGGGAGAGGGAGAAAAAGGAAAAAAGAATAAAGGCTTTACATGTATTAACATATACCTCATTTTATCCTTACAACGATCCAGTGAGAATGTATTTTTGATATCTCCATTTTGCAGAGATAGTGAAACGAAGACAATGAATGCATTCGAGCTTAAATAACTTGCCCACGGTTACAGAATTACTAGGGGAGCCCAGGTAGTCTGTTCCATAATCCACTGTGTTTACACTGTACCTTCAGGGTGATTTTTTTCTGTTCTTAAGCATAATGTACAGTGCCTAGCAGCTTTGCTCACTGAAGAGGTAGCACCCCCGAACACACGCATGCACACACACGTACAGATATGTATGTGCGAATACAACCTGAGCATCTGCTACGCTACAGGCCCTCAGCTCTCAGTTCAGCTGTTATTCACGTGCTGCTGAGCGTTTTACGTCCACGGTTTTATTCACTCTTCAGAACCACCCGATGAGGTTGGTACATTCCCATTTTTTTAGATTAGACAACTGAGGCTCAGGAGCATGGCGTATTTTACTGTAGAGCATGCAGATAGGGAATCATAGCACTTGGATTTAATTAGCTTTGATTTCCAAGAGCAAGTTCTTTATCTTTGTGCTTCAAGATGTACTGTAAGTCTTTGGTATTGGCAGATATATGATTCCAAGGAGACTTCTGTTGAGGAAAAACTGCGAATGTCAGGATGCAGAGTCCGTACTTTTCTGCAGATGCTTGACTCGTTTTTCCCACAACACTGCCCAACATCCACTAAAGATGTGCGCCTTTCAACAAACCTAACGTTTTCACTTTATCACTCAAATTGAGCACATTAACTTTTACCTTGTTTTTTTTCCATACCGTTTGCTTTTGGGGACTCAGATTTTAAAGGCAGGAATATTAAGAGCAGGGAAACACTTAACAGATCACACAATGATTTAAACACAACTGAGATAACAAGGAACTAAAAGTTTCTCCACGTCAACTGAACTGTGTAATATGCATACAAAAATTTTAAACTTCTGTTTCTGAAATTTTTATTTATTTATTTTTTTACCACACTGGGCCAAAACCATGTGTAATAAGCCCATGAGCAAGGCAGGCTACTGTACTGAACAGGGCTGTGGCTCTGTCTCTTTGCTCCTCCTCTCATGGACTATAGAGCCTCACACAGCTCTGCTTTCCTTACTTTCGGTTGGTCTATGCAGAGAGCAGAGGAGGGTCATCAGTTGTGTTTGGAGTCAGAGGTTTTCCTTTTGAATGGCTCCTAGCTGCAGCCCAGTCTTGGGGTTGTTTCCTGCAACCTGAAGATAGCCTAAAAGTGACATCTCTAAGCATGGAAGTTTTTCAAGTTTCCTGTCCTTTTTGGGGGATGGGGTGGGACTGGGGTTTGAACTCTCAGGGCTTCACACTTGCAAAGCAGACTCTCTATGCTGGAGCCACACCTCTAGTCTATTTGTTCTGGTTATTTTGGAGATAGGAGCCTCTCGAACTCTTTGCCTGGGCTGCCCTTGAACCACAGTCCTCCTGATCTCTGCCTCCCAAGTAGCTAGAATGACAGGTGTGAGCCACTGGCACTTAGGGTCTCGATGTGTACCCCAGGCTGGCCTCAAACTTGAGGTTCTCCTGTCTCAGCCTCCTGAGTGCTGGAATTGCAGGTGTGCTGCTCCCACTCCCAGCTTCTGATTTATTTTTAATATTCATATCAATTTTATGTTCTTATTAACAGATCCAATTTTATGTTATTACAGAAAAAGAGAGGGGTGACCCAAACAATGTATACACATGTGAGTAAATGTAAAAATGATAAAAAAAAAAAAAAGGAATGCCATCTCTGTTACCAGTCCTCAGGTGAATTAAGCCTCAGAAGTGTGCCATGTTCAACCTGTGGCAGTTGGCTGCTTCTCCCTGGGTGTGCGTGCGTGTTGTCCACAGTTTGAGAAGGGCAGCCTTGGGCTAGGATGGCAGGACTCGGGCTGCTCGGAGCACATGGTAGCTTTCTCAAGAAATCTCTAACTGTTCCTATGCCTCTTTGCAACGAGCTTGATTTCCCAGAGCCTTTCCCTTTAGGTCTTTCCTTCTCCCAGCATCCTTTCTGTTTCTAGCTCCAAGCCCTTCACTCTCTCTCCTCAGGCTACACGGTGATCTGGCTGTCCTCGCAGGGGCCCACGTCCTTGTTGGCAGCTGGAGCCCCCCGATACCAGCATGTAGGGCAAGTACTGCTGTTCCAAGAGCCAAAGGACAGAGGTCACTGGAGCCAGGTCCAGAAAATAGATGGAACCCAGGTGAGCGTGGCCCAAGGGGCACCTGTAGGTCAGGGGCAAGTGAGACAGTATTCCCCATTTCCTTTGAACACTTGTTCCCTTGTTGTGTGGCACACTTGTTACTCACCAAACCCTCTGAGATAGGCCTGAATTTCCAAGAGTCCATCCTGTTCTCAACTCACATAGGTTCCAAGGGTGGTCCAGGACCTGAACCTGTTTTTGAGGGACTACAAGATGGACATGGTGCAGTTGAGGGATAGGAGGTAACCTGTCACTTCCTGTTGCCCTCTGGGCTCTTCTCCAAACATCTTCCTCTCCCTACAGATTGGCTCTTATTTTGGTGGAGAGCTGTGTGGCATTGATGTGGACCAAGATGGGGAGACAGAGTTGCTACTGATTGGAGCCCCCCTGTTCTATGGGGAGCAGAGAGGAGGCCGGGCATTCATCTACCAGAGGAAAACGGTGGGAGCAGAGCCCTGAGTGAGGTGGAAAGGGAGAAGCAGAGATGCACAGGCCTGCTCAGGCCTCATTTCTTCTGAAGAGCTTTTCCTGTCTGAGCACATGAAAATCAAACCTTTCAAACAACAGACAGACAATAACTAACACTTCTTGGGGCAGATGTGTGCAAGGCCTAGTGGCAGACATGTATGACCTCATTTTAGCCTTTGATCACTTTCTGAAATCCAACAAGCAGTATTTTTCAAATGGGATCACCCAGCTATCAAGGTTGTGTGACATGCCAGGTGCCAGTGACCCACACCTGTAATCCTAGCTACTCAGGAGGCAGAAATCAGGAGGATCACAGTTCAAAGCCAGCCTGGGCTGGGTTTGTGAGACCCTATCTCGAAAAAAAAGAAAAAAGAAAAGAAGTGGGGTGGAGTGGCTCAAAGTGTAGACCCTGAGTTCAAACTTCAGTACTGCAAAGAAAACTTTCTAGAGCCACAAGGTCAGACAGACAGTACAAAATGTGACTGCACTTGGACCCGTGTTGGTCTGATAGCACCATTGTCACTCTGTAAGGGACAGCATCCTACATTTCTTTAGCACTGTCACTGAAGTACCTTCATAATGCTGAGTCTGGTGAAGACTGCTGTGATGGAGATTCAACCTGTCTCCTTGCTTCTTCCCAGCTGGGGTTTGAGATGGTCTCAGAACTACAGGGAGATCCTGGCCACCCCCTTGGACAGTTTGGAGCGGCCATTACTGCCCTGGCAGACATCAATGGGGATGGACTGATGGACGTGGCAGTGGGAGCCCCTCTGGAGGCTCAGGGGGCGGTATACATCTTCAGTGGACAGAGTGGTGGGCTCAGCCCCCGGCCAAGTCAGGTGAGGTGTCACACCTGCCCATTAAACTCCATTCCAGGCACCTGGAATTCTCCAAGCCCAACCCCCAGCCCCTGGCCTGACTTCCACCCTCCACCTGCCCTCTCCCCAGCTTAGCGTGAATTTCTCTCTTGCTCCCAGAGGATAGAAGGGTCCCAGGTGTTCTCAGGGATTCGGTGGTTCGGACGCTCAATCCATGGGGTGAAGGACCTTGGAGGGGACGGCCTGGCAGATGTGGCTGTGGGGGCTGAGGGCCAGGTGCTTGTGCTGAGGTAAGATGGGATTTCTGAGTCCCTCTGATAATCTTGGCTCTGCCTTTGAGTAGTGAACCGCGCACTGTGCTAAATGCTTCACAGCTCTGCCTGTGTGGTGTCCACCCGGCCCTGGGAGACACATTCTCTATCATGGAGGCTTCATGTCTTAGTCCTGGTTCAATGAAGGCCACTGGTGTAGCTGACGCTAAAACCTCCTAAACAAGCAGCAACATGTGATATTACACCTGGTGACTCAGGTTCTCCGGACCTAAGTTCCTCATGTTTGAAGTACTGGTGACATTTCCTGCCTTACCCCCTATCTTAGAGTTGTTGGAAGCATCGAGTGGAACATAGTACAGGGAATAGATTTTGGTTTTTGTTTTCTGGTTATGCTGGGGTTTGAACTCAGGACCTTGCACTTGCAGGGTAAGTGCAGCAATAGCTATTTATTGATGACCTGTTGTGCCTTTTAAATTTTTGGTAGTGCCAAGGGTGGAACCCGGGACCTATGCATGCACTGAACCACTGAGCTACATCCCCAGCCCTTAAACGTGAATTAAGAAATATCAAGGTCGTTGTTTCTGCTTATTCTCTTACTTTTTTTATTCTCCTGTGGAATGTAGATGGAACCCAGGGCCTCATACATACGAGGCAACTGCTCTGCCACTGAGCTATGCCCTGGTTCCTGATCACCTCTACCTTGAATATACAACCAGGCATTGGGTCTAGAGTATGTGAAGATACAAATAAAAATATTTAAACAGCCAGGTGCCAGTGGCCCACGCCTGTAATGTTAGCTACTCAGGAGGCAGAGATCAGGAGGATTGCAGTTCAAAGCCAACCTGGGCAAATAGTTCATGAGACCCAATTTTTAAAAAACCCATCATGAAAAAGGGCTGGTGGAGTGGCTCAAGTTGTAGGCCCTGAGTTCAAGCCCCAGTACTGAAAAATAAAATTAAACAAATAAATAGGTCATTACGAATTGTAATATGTGCTCTGAAGGAGCAGGAAATGAGTATGGTCTCATTTCCTGTCTCTCTCAACCACAGAGGAGATAGAGACACAGGGAAAACAGAGAGACATGTGCAGGGGTGGCCTACTGAAGATTTGGTGGCCAAGAAAGTCCTCTCTGAGTTGGTGATATTTGAACTGGGAAGTGAATGATGAGAAAGAGCTAGGCTTGCAGAAATCTATTTTAAGAACATTTTTTTTTTCTGGTTTTGGGGCTTGAACTCAGGGCTTACACCTTGAGCCACTCTACCAGCCCTATTTTTGTGAAGGGTTTTTTGAGATAGGGTCTCACAAACTTTTTGCCCAGGTTGGCTTTGAACCCTGGTCCTCCTGATCTCTGCCTCCTGAGTAGCTGGGATTACAGGTGTGAGCCACTGGTGCCAGGCCTAAGAGCTTTCTTTGTAGAAAGCCCAGGATATGCCAACACCATACATTTGACATGAGAGAAGGCTGAAATACCCAAGATGCATTTGCTTATAGCAGTCCTGTGCAGAAATGGTATTGATAGCCTGGTTGGGGGTGGGGCTTAGGAAATAGAACTAGAGAGACAGGATGTATGGCATGAATAATGAAAAGGCTGAATTTTATTTATTTGTGGTACTGGGGTTTGAATTCAGGGCTTTACGTTTACTAGGCAGGTGCTCTACCACTTGAGCAATTCTGCCAACCCATTTTTGTGTCGGGTATTTTCAAAATGGGGTCTTTGAACTATTTGCCTGGGCTGGCTTGAACCAAAATCCTCCTGATCTCTGCCTCCCGAGTAGCTGGGATTGCAGGTGTGAGCCACGGCACTGGCTCTGAACTTTACCCTAGCTATCGTATGGTATCATTGGATGGCTATAAGCATGGAAGTCTCTCAACATGATTCCTTTCATTTTATTTTTATTTTTTATTTTTGCGGTGCTGGGGATCAAGCACAGGGCTTCACGCATGCTGGGGAACACTCTACCACTGAGCTACAGTCCCATTCCATTTTCCTTTTTTAAAACTCACTTTTTGCGGCAGTACTTGGGTTTGAACTCAGGGCCTTGTGCTTGCTAAGCAAGTGCTGTACCACTGGAGCCATGCTGAAAAATTGCTTTAGCTATTTTTCAGATAGGGTCTCATGTTTTTATGCCAGGCTGGATCTTGATCACCCCCTTCTCTGTCTCCCAAATAGCCGGGATTAGAGGTGTGAACTACCTTGTCCACCAAGCTCACTCTTCTTTATGGAAAGTGAGTCAAAAGGCTGCCAGTAGTGAACTAGGGAGCCCTAATCAGTTGTCATCATTGTTGAGAGGAGACAGTGATGGGAGGTCAGCTTTTAGGAAGGAGAGTCCTGTGGACTGTGCTGCATGGAGCCTCTGGGGTATGCAGTTGAAATCCAGGAAGAGACTTGGTGGTTTTCTGCCCTACAGCTCCCGTCCTGTGGTAGATGTTGTCACTGAGATGTCCTTCTCCCCAGCTGAGATCCCAGTGCATGAGGTGGAGTGCTCCTACTCAGCCAGTCACAAGACAAAGGAAGGCGTTAACCTTACTGTCTGTTTTCAGATCAAGCCTCTCATCCCTCATTTCCAAGGTCAGTGCTGTCCACCTGTTCTCCAGAGCCACTGCCCGCTCCAAACTCCAGGATCCCCCACCATTCAACTCTGCCTTTCACCCCACCCAGGTCGCCTGCTGGCCAACCTTACCTACACTCTGCAGCTGGATGGCCATCGGACCAGGAGCCGGGGACTGTTCCCAGGAGGAAGACACGAGCTCAGTGGGATCACACCTGTCACCCCAGTCAAGACCTGCATGAAGTTCTGGTTTAACTTTCCGGTAAGGGAGCAAGTGCTGGGGTTCCTGGAAGGGGTGAGTGAACAGACCTCAATGAGAGGCAGCTCAGGGTGCAGGCTCAGCTCTGTCACCATCCATCTGGGTGACGACTACATTGATCTCTCTATACTGTACTGCCATTTCTTCTGCTGTACAATAGTGGGGATAGCACCCTTTTTCTTACTTTCTTCTAATCCTTTCTATAGTCACACAGACATTTTTAACATAATTGTGGGGCTAGCGGCATGGCTCAAGTGGTAGAGCACTTGCCTAGCAAGTGTGAGACCCTGAGTTCAAGCCCAGTACAACCAAAAAAGAAAAAAAAGAAAAACCATGCTGATGATTATAACATACTTACCATTTCCCCTACTCCCTCCTCACATCATATATTAACGCGTGACGCATCTACTCCGATTTTGTAGTTGTTGTTTTTGTTTTTTGGTTGAACTGGGGTTTGAACTCAGGGCTTTGTACTTGAAAGCAGGCACTCTATCTCTTGAGCCACAACTCCAGTCCATTTTGCTCTTAATTATTTTGGAGATGGGGTCTTGAGAACTCTTTGGCCAAGCTGACCTTGAACCATGATCCTCTGATCTCAGCCTCCCAAGTAGCTAGAATTACTGGCATGTGCTCACCTTCATAGCTTTGTTTTTTGGGTTTTTTGTTTGTTTGTTTGTTTTCAGTACTGGAGTTTAAACTCAGGGCCTACACCTTGAGCCACTCTTTTTTTGTGTGTGTGTTGGGTTTTTTTGAGATAGGGTCTTGTGAACTATTTGCCTGGGCTGGCTTTGAACCATGATCCTCCTGATCTCTGCCTCCTAAGTAACTAGGATCTCAGGCATGAGTCACCGGTACCTGGCTTCATAGTTGTTTTTAATGGTTGCAGGAGATTCAGTCATCATGACATAGCATTATTTACCAGTTGCACATGGTAATTTATAATTAACATCCATTCCAGATCATTTTTAGTATTAGTTTGAGCAACTACTAATTCTTTTTCTTTTTCTTTTCTTTTTTTTGGCAGCACTGGGGTTTGAACTCATGGCCTCACCCTTGCTAGGCAGGGGCTCTACCACTTGAGCCACTCCTCCAGCCCTTGAACAACTACTTGAAAGATGCACTTTGCTTATAGCAGTCCTATGCAGAAAAGGGATTGATACAAATTATTATGGCTTCTTAAATATTTCATAAAAGGGTGAAGACAACCAAGCACTGGTGGGTCATGTCTGTAATCCTAGCTACTCAGGAGGCAGAGATCGGGAGGATCATGGTTCGAAGCCAGCCCAGGGAAATAGTTCATGAAACCCTATCTCCAAAAAACCCATCACAAAAAAGGTTGAGATGGGTCAAGTGGGTCAAGGATGGAGTGGGTCAAGACATAGGCCTTGAGTTCAAGCCCCAGTACCACACAAAAAAAAAATTGAATGTGGAAATGGTAATAACCACTTCTGAGTTAGGATCAGTATAAAGTTTAGGTGAAATACGATTCAAGTGCCTATAGTGTGCCAGTCAGGCACTGGTGATAAGGAAAGACGAAAGACTAAACCCATCCCTATTCTCAAGGATGAAGTCTTCTAGAACGAGGATAGTCTAGTTATTCTGGAATATTCTTGTGCAAACTTTAATAATGGCTGCCTAGTGTGGTATATTTCATTAGGACTCTGGTAAACAGTGCTAGGATTGAGTAGTAATGTCTGCATGGAATTGGGGCTTATGCTGCGAAGCACCTCAAAGTACATTATAAACTCCTGATATGTAGTAAATGTATTTTCACTACTGACAAGTAGCGAAAAAATGTTCACTTCTAGTAAGGTCTTAGCTAACTACTGTTATTTCATCATCAGTAAGTAAGATACAGATAAGGGAAGAGAGACATTGGCTAGAAGGTGGGGTCATGGAGCTACCCCTCGTGTCGCTGGGAGCCAAGCTGTGCTCTTGGCTCGCAAGAGGAGTGAGGGCTGCCCAGCAGATATCATGTGGCCTGTGCTTTGGACCGTGGTGCATACCTATGCGCTCTGTGTCACATTTCCTGTAGCCTTCGTGGTCAGGGCTGTGGTTACCACTTGGAATGGTTCACCAGGGAGAAGGATCCCCAGCCTGTGCAGGAGGAAAAGAGCATCTCAGAGCATCAGGAGAATAGTGAACTGGATGAGATGCTAGGCAGAGAACACACCCAGGTGGTGAACCCTAAGGACACCGGGACAAGCTGAAATTTGCCCCTGAAGCCGTCCTGAACAGAAACCGGTGGGAGAAGAATTAATGGAGGACACAGGCCCTATGGTCCACAGGACTGTGACTGCCCCTGCACCATGGCATCCCAGCCCCAGAACATATATCTGATTTGCTTTGCTGCTTATTCTGGCCCCTTCTGCACCACACAACCACAGAGGTACTGGCTGCTCCTTTATGGTCAGGCGGACAGCAGCAACTGAGGGCCATCAGAAGAAGGTTGCTTCTGTCATGTGAGGGCCACAGTTGCTCAGACTTCCAGCTTGTGTGGGTGCACTGCCAGGAGGAGTGTTATGAAATGAACGCTGGCCCTCAGTCTCCCTTGGGGAAGCAGTGCAGCCTCCAGTGGGAATGGCTGGATCTGGGTGTTTCCTTTAGGAAGGAATTTATGTGTCTAGATGCAGTGTGCACTGGGAAAAATTCAAACATCACCCTGGCTGCCCTTTCCTTCATCCTCATTCTTCCTGAAATTCTGTTGTCAGCCCAGGGATGGGATTCCCTGTTGTCAGAAGCTCAAGCTGTTTACCTTGGGGCAGGGAGGAATTTACTTGAAAACAGTCACCATCTTCTATCCTTATCATACAGTGAAAACTATGATTAAAGTGACTCTGAGAATCACAAAAAAAAGTGCAGACAAGGCATGTCCTGAGTCAGGATTGTGATACAGGTTAGACATGACATAGGTTGTGTTCTTCTCACCCTCAGGTCTGCATTCAAGACCTCATCTCCCCCATCAATGTCTCCCTGAATTTCTCTCTTTTGGAGGAAGAAGGGACACCGAGGGACACAAGAGTGGTAAGAAGAGATTGGCTGAGAAATTGGGCAATAGGAATGACTGTGTTATACAGGAGGCTGAATGTAAGCAACAGAAACTGAATATGACTGACTTAAGCAGGAAGTTTGTATTTAAAATTAATTTGGAAGGACATTGGGAAGAAGGGGAGCCAGGAGGTGGCTCTGGTGGCTCTCAGGAAGAGGTGATAATGGGTGGACTCTCCAGGTCCCTTCAGCAAACCTGCTCCAGTTCCCTGCCAGGCATCACCTCCAAACCATACCAGGTTCTAACACTGCTCAGTACACAAATTCCAGAGAGAGAACTTCAGAAATGCAAGGCCTGTCCTTTATTGAGGGAAGGAGAGGGGACCTTCATTAGCCTTCTTGCCCATGGATATTCAGCTGGGGGCAGGTGGTACCCTTAAAGCCACATTGGGGTGCTGTAGAAGTAGGGAGACATGCCCTCATGCACTGCCAAAAGCCTGATGTCCTTTTCTGAAATCCTGGACAAAGCCCTTTTCTGGGCACTGGCTCTGCTGAGGTCCTGTCCTGGCATGGCTCACAGTTCCTGTTGGAGAAGTCATGGTTACAGTGTGCTACAGTGATGCTGTGGTACTTAGACACAGGGTAGCAGCGACTTATGCCAGAAATCTGAGAGGATAAGGAAACCATTCATAGACTTAAATCTCCAGGTGGAGAAGGGAAAGTATCCATTTGGAAAGATGGCAAAATGTGAGCCCAGACATAAAGATGCCAGAGATCATGGTACGGGGCGACGGGAGCTCGAAGTGAGGGGAAGATGGGACCAGGGTGGACTAAGGAGTTTGGCCTCTTTCCTGAGGGAAATGAGGAGCCAGGAGCTGGTGGCTCATGCCTGTAATCCTAGATACTCAGGAGGCAGAGATCAGGAGGATCACAGTTCAAAGCCAAATAGTTCGAGAGACCCTATCTTGAAAAACCCATCACAAAAAAGGTCTGGTGAAGTGGCTCAAGGTGGAGGCTCTGATTTCAAACACCAGTACCACAAAAAAAAAAAAAAAAAAAAAGATTTTAATGTGAAGGAAGGAATATTACCAAACTCATTGTGCTTTTTTGATTGCAAGTCTTAGACTCTTAGCTTAGACCTCACTTAAGCAAAAAGGGAATTGACTGATTCTAAGATTGAGGGAGGGTCCTGGCTTCCCATGTATCTGTAACCAAGAGCCTAGACAAGGATATCAGGAATCTGTCTTTCTTCATATCATAACTTATTATCCTTGTGTTACTGTTATTGTCAGACTTTACCTTCACTCCTAGGCAATTCCAAGTAGAAAAGAAAGACCTTCTTGTTGTGGCCTGCGCCATATTCACACCCCTAAACCAATGCTTGGATCACATATGAACCCAGAATATGGATATATGGCCAAAACTAAGGCCCTGGTAGGGGGCGTAGGGGAGCAGCATACCAGGAGAGTTAGGAGAGGGGAGGAGACATTTCTGTTGTCACACAGATGTGTTAGGAAGCTAACCCAGCAGCATGTGGAGGCTGGATTGCAAGAATCTGAGCCTGGATGCAAGGAGGCCACTGGGGTGGTCTTTCCTACTAGGGAACAAAAAGACCTGAACCAAGGCAGTGTCTGTGGAGAGGAGATACAGTAAAGAGAGGCTGAAGAGACAGAATCATCAGGAGGTTGAGGTGTAGGGAGAAAGGCAGAAGATGGCACCCTTTTCTGACTTGGATATGGGTGGATTTGGAGTCTCCCTTTCCCCATCTCCACACACAACAGGGACAGTAGAGGGGTCATAGGTCTGTTGGAAGGGTAGCTAAGGAGCTCAACCTTGGACTTGGTTGGATTTGAAGCATTGGCGCCCAAATCATCCAAGAAGTAACATTATGTCTAGGCAAGGCAAAGTACTAGTTAGGTTAACTAAGCAGCAAACAACAGAGACTGACATTTTTTTTTCTTTTTTGGCAATGCTGGAGTTTGAACTCAGGGCCTTGTGCTTAGTAGGCAAGCACGCTACCACTTGAGCCACACCACCACCCCAGAGAGTCATATTTAAATTGGCTTTTGAAAAGTCTCTTCCTCCTATAAAAGGTTAGTGGAAGCTGATATGGTAGTTCTGTGCCTCAAAGTTGGCTGTTGGCAGATATGTTAGCGTGAAAAAAGGCATGGAAGGATAGGCGAGAGAAGCCCCAGTACGTTGGCACAGGCTTTACTGGGGAGAAGAAGCCTGCAAAGAGGGTCTCCAGCAAGAGAACTGGGGTAGATACAGGAGGTTTGTGGAGAAGCCCCGAGAAGGTCACTGAATAGGAAAAATCCTCATTTGGCCTTCTGACCCTTCTGAGATAATGGTTGAGGGGGTGAGGAGTTTCTAGTAACTGGCTAAAGGTGGATGTTTGTTAGGGCCTGATGAATAAGCTGCCAGTGAGGGGTAGGGAGTCTGGTTCTAACATGGCTGCCCTGTGTTCACCCTGACACAAAAGGCTTTTGACTTTACAGGCCACATGTTTTCTATTGCCGTTTCTCAACTTTGCCTCTCCAGCATTAAAGCAGCCATAACTGTAGGTGGACAGGAGGCTGTGCCTGTATCGCAGTAGCACTGTGTTTACTAAACAGGTGGGGCTGGCCTTCCTGCCAGTTGCCTATCCTGCTCTAAATCTGCAATTGTGGCTTCCTTCTGTGTTACTTCTTCACCTCTGTGTGCCTTCTGGTGCTTAAATTAAAGATGGTTGCTCAGGCTCTAGCCATCATGTGTGCACCTTGTCAAGGAGGACAGAAGAAGCACACACATCTTCCTTTGAAGATTATTTCTTAAAAATCCATATAACAGTTTCACTTGCATTTTATTGGTCAAAACCTAGTCACGTGATCACACCCAGCTGCTAGAGACTGAGCGAAGTCATTTTCTGTCCATATGGCTCTACCACTGAACAAAAAGTTTTAAAGACAAGAGGGGAATCAGGATTCTGTGTGGTCAACCAGCAGTCTTTGCCATAGGCACTAATTATATGCCAAACCATACTGTGTGGAAATTCAGGGGAAAAGAGATCCAATGTCACAAAGTCAAAAAGACTTCCTGGTGTTAGACTCAATGAGGCACAAAATAGATAGACTGGAAGACAGCTCAACACCAGCACAGGGTTTACTTGGAAAGAAGCCCTGTGGAGTGGGTCCCCAACAAGAGAGCTGGAGCTCATAGCTGCTTACAGACTGGGGGTAGATATAGGAGGTGGGTGGAGAAGTCCCAGGTAGGTCACTTGGCAGGAGAATCCTCAATGGCCCTCTGACCCTCCTGAGATAATAGCTTAAGGGTGGGTCATTTCTTCTAGGCCAGGTAGGGAGTTTCTAGTAAATGGCTAAAGGTGGATGTTTATTTTTCTTTAGGGCCAAGTGGAGAGTTTCCAGTGAGCCACCTTCAAGGGGGAGGGGGTGGGGCTCCAGATCTAACATGGCTTCCCTTTTGTTCACCCTAACACCTGGAAGGTATCATTGGTTTTGTCTTACAAAAGGGGAGGAAGGGTACGCTAGTAAGGTCAAGGGAAATGGGGAGGTAGACCTTGCTTCTGGCAGGAAGATGGCCAAGCAAGATCAAGGCCTTGCTCAATGGTCCATGGTCTGATGGGTGATAAGAGAGCTGAGCTGAGGGTGGGGAGTTGCAGTCAACAGAGACCCCCAGGACTCTAGCCCTTCAAGGAAGAGTCTATGGACAGGTTGGCATGTGGCCTAAAGGATGTACAGCTGATATTCCATAAAAACCTTCCATGGCCCCAGTACCCTTAGAACAAAGTCCTCAATCCCTAACATGACCTACAAGGCTCAGTAAAATCCAGACTCTGCTGTCTCCCTCACCTTCTAAAGCATTGCGTTCCAGCCAGTCCGAGTGGCTTCTGACTCCTTTCAGGAGGCACAGTCTGTCTTTCCTCAGGGGCTTGGAATATGCTGTTCTTTCTTCCTCTCCATTCTCTTCACTTGGCTCCTTCCTATACATCCTTTAGTGTATTAGTCAATGTCCATCACTGTAACAAACAACTGAGGAAATCAGCTTATAAAGAGAAAAGGGGCTGGGTGCCAGGGACTCACACTTGTAATCCTAGCTACTCAAGAGGCAGAGATCAGGAGGATCACAGTTCAAAGCCAGTCTGGGCACAGTTCTGTGAGATCCTGTCTCAAAAAAACCCATCACAAAAAAAGGGCTGGTGAAGTGTTTCAAGGTGTAGGCCCTGAGTTCAAATCCCAGTACTGTAAAAAAAAAAAAAGGAAGGAAGGAAGGAAAGTGTTATCTTGGCTCACAGTTGCAGAGGTTCCAGTCCATGATCAGTTGGCCCTGTTGCTTTGGGCCTGTGGTGAGACCCATCATGGTGGGTAATGCATGGTAGAGCAACCTGCTCACTTCATGGCAGTTAGGAAGCAAAAAAAGAAGAAGGGGTTGGGGTCACATTATCTTCTTCAAGGCCACACCCCCAGTGACCTAACTTCCTCCCACTAGGCCCCACCTCTAAAAGGTTCCACCACCTCCCAGTTGAACCATAGGTAGGGGGACCAAGCCTTTAATACACAGGTCTTTGGGGAACATTTCAGATCCAAACTATAGCAGTTAGATTTCAGTTGGGATGTCATTCCTTCAGGAAGCTTCCTTAACCCCCTCCCCCAAGTCTAATATAGGAGTCCGTTCTCCATGATCTAAAGATACCCTATATTTGTCTAGTCATAACACTTAATGCACTGTTGGAAATGCCTGGTGGTTGCTCCTTCCAGATCAGGAGGGGACGAAGGTTTGTTTTGTTCTCTGGTGTGTCACCCGGTGCCTAGCACGAGGGGCCTGACTAAACATGGGAGCATGGGAATTGCTGGAAAAAAGTTTTACTTGAACTTCTAAGAACTCTGGAAGTGGGCCTAGCCAGGTGCCAGTGGCTCATGCCTGTAATCCTAGCTACTTGGGAGACAGAGGTCAGGAGGATCAGGCTTCAAATCCAGCCCAGGAAAATAGTTCACAAGACCCAATCTCGAAAATACCAACACAACAAAGGACTGGCAGAGTGGCTCCAGGGATACAGCACCTTCCTAGCAAGCATGAGGCTCTGAGTTCAAAACCCCAGTCCCACCCAAAAATAAAACAAAACAGAAGTAGGCCTAGAAGGACAAGGGGTCAACAAAGGAGAAGCACAGAAAGGGTTGTTGGGAAGCAGGTGAGTCTAGAGGCTGTACAGCCAGAAACTTCTGCTGGAGGAATGTAGGAGGCCCAAGTCTTGGTCAGTGGAAGGGAGTGGGGCACCCTGAGCCTCTGCCTCCCATTGGGAAGCTGCCGCTAGACAGCTGTGCACATGGCCCTGGGCACAGGCAGGAGAGCAGGGTCAACCCTGTGAAGGCACTTGGCTCCTGGGGGTAAGACCACAGTCATTCCAAGTGAGTCCTGATGTCCACCTGCCCCCTCCCCCTTCCTGGGATCTGCTGCTTCAGCTGAGCTCTCCTGTCTCTGTTCTTCCATGCTCAGCAGGTCAAGGACATGCCACCCATTCTGAGACCCTCACTACACTCAGAGACCAAGGAGGTAAGGGGGAGGAGGGGCAGACACAGGACTGGAGCCCAGCCCCTGCTAGGTCTGGAGCCTGAACCTCTCAGTCCTTTCTTCTTGCTCTTCTAGATTCCCTTTGAGAAGAACTGTGGAGAGGACAAGAAGTGTGAGGCAAACCTGGGGCTGTCTACCCCTACCAGGTCTGTAAAGCTTCAACCCCCAGGTCCTCTCTTAATGCCACTGTTTTCCTGAGGCAGCTGGAAAGAATGCTGGACTAGAGTCAAAAGACCCCCTTGCCAGGCTCTGGTGATTCACACCTGTAATCCTAGCAACTCAGGAGCCAGAGATCAGGAGGATCGTGGTTCGAAGCCAGCCCGGGGAAATAGTGCGAGAGACCCTATCTCAAAAAACCCTTTACAAAAATAAAGCTGGTGGAGTGGCTCAAGGTGAAGGCCCTGAGTTCAAGCCCCAGTACCACAAAAAAAAAAAACAACAACCCTCTACCCACTGGATGTGTCAGCTGGGGATACCGTCTCCCTTTCTGGGCCTTCTCTGAGAAATCTGAGTCCTTCGTGGAACTCCTGTATACAGGACTGACCGCCTACCTATAGGACCTTGTTTTTGTAGCCTGCAAGATCCCACAGTTCTGAGGTCCCCACTTCGATTCTTCTTCCTTCATCTTGGCCACCATAACACTTCCCTGTCCCCCCACCATCACCTCCAGATCCACAGTCCTGCCTCTGAAGCCCTCTGCCAGCCTTGATGTGGAGTGGACACTGAGTAACTCAGGAGAGGATGCTTACTGGGTCCAGCTGAACCTACAGTTCTCACAGGGACTGTCCTTCCGAAAGGTGGAGATGCTCAAGGTGAGACCCAGACAGCTCTTGAGGGCAGAGGTCCGAGGGCCTCATCTGATCAGATGAGCTAAGGTGCACAGTTTATCTTCTTTGAGCCTCGGATTCCACAACCAAAAAGTGAAGCCAGGGACACCCACGGTTATTGAGAGCTTTGTATGAAAAGGGATGGGGATGTGTACACTTGGTGACATGGACTTACCTCCTTTAGAGAGGTGAACAAAGTCTGTGAACAATATCTTGGAATGCTTTTTAAAAATTTTTTGTGAGTAAAGTGAAAGAGTTTATTGAGATAGAAAAGCAGCAAAGAGTACAGCTCACAGAGCTGGCAGGGGTCCCAAGAGACAGTGCTTCCTGGAATGATTTAAATATCAGTTTTATTTATTTATTTAATTTTTTTGAGAGAGAAAGAGAGAGTCTTGATATATAGCCCAAAGTGGGCTTGAACTCAAGATCTTCCTGCCTCATCCTCCTGAGTGCTGGGATTACAAATGTGTGCCACTATACCTGGTCTCCTTTTCATCTTTGGTGTTTCTCTGTTATACTTCCCTGTCTGTGGTTTCATATTTGTATAATATGCTTATCTATACACGTACATATATTACATCATGTATTTATTTGAATTAATTGGTATTTTGCTCTCCGTATAGTTATTTTCCTCCGTATTTTTTATTGTGATAAAATACATGTAATATAAACTTCACCATTTTAGCTATTCCCAGGCACACACTTCATTGGCATTATTTCTAGTATTGTGTAAGTAACACACTGTCTGTTTCCAGAGTTCTTCATCATCTCCAACCTGTTAACATTACTCCTCACCCCACTTCTCTGCTCCCACATAACCTGTCATCTGCTTGCTGCTTCTGTGAATTTACATGTTCTAGAGAGTTCATATAAATGAGAGAATGATACAGTATTTGCCCTTTTGTGTCTGGCTTATTTCACATAGCACAGTGTTTTTTTCATTTGGTTTTTTTGGTGGGAATGGGGTTTGAACTCAGAGCTTCACTCTTGCAAACCAGGCCCTGTACTGCTTGAGCCACACCTCCAGTCCATTTTGCTCTGATTATTTTGGAGATGGGGTTTTATAAGCTGTTTGCCTTGTCTGGCCTCAAACCAAGATCCTCCCAATCTCTGCCTCCCAAGTAGCTAGGATTACAGGCAGGAACCACTGGCACCTGGCTAGCATAATATTTTTGGCTTTTTGTTTGTTCAGTTTGGGTTTTTTTTTTTTTTTGAGACAGGGTCTCCTTACGTTGCTTAGACTGCCCTGAGCTCAAGTGATCCCTTGGCTTCAGCCTCCCAAGTAGCTAGGACTGCTACCATGTGTCAATGCACCCAGCTGTGCCTCTGATTCTCTGGTCCTGCCTCTGAGAATGTGCCATAACAGGGATAGAGGCCTGCAGGGGCACACCCCGAGGTTCATGGCTGCTGGGAAACTCTGAGCCTTGTCCACCAACAAGCCCCTGTTCTCTCTCCTCACTACCAGCCACACAGCCAGATGCCTGTGAGCTGTGAGGAACTTCCTGAGGACAAGGGACTCCCCACCAGGACTCTCTTGTGCAATGTGAGCTCTCCCATCTTCAAAGCAGGCAGCTCGGTGAGTGTTGTCCATCCCTCTGGACCAAGCAGGGACCACAGCTGGTAAGGGGAGGGAGCTGTCAGCTCTGGGGAAGGAGCAGGTAATTGGCCAGGAAGGGCCCACCCCACCCCAGGAGATGCGTGCAGAGCTGCTCTGTGTCATGGCTGAAAGCCTAGACTTTGGAATTGGGTTATTCATTCTGTGCTCTTGCACAGACCACATGATTTAACCATTTAAAGACTCAATTCTCATCTGTACGATGAGGGTGAAGCACCAGCCCCCGTGCTTGATCTGTATTGAGCACTTGCTGCATAGTCACTGCAGTTCTGGTGACTCGGCTGGGGCTGTGAGGCCCTCAGACTGTGCCAAAGGCCCTGTGTCTTCCTTCCCTTTTCCTGCCCTGCCAGGTTGGTGTTCACGTGATGTTTAATACCCTGCTGAACAGTTCCTGGGAGGACTTTGTCGATCTGAACGCCTCTGTACACTGGTGAGCAGGCCCTGGGAAGACCCTGCTGCACCCCTGTGCTTGGTCTTGACTGCCATGCAACCTGGCCGTGTCCTTCTAACACTGCCCTCCCCGCCACGCAGTGAGAACGAGGACTCAAGCCTGCTGGAAGACAACTCGGCCACTGCCCGCATCGCCGTGCAGTACCCCATCAACATCCTCCTTGAGGAGTGAGTCCTGAGCTACAGCCACCCTCCTCTCACCCAGCCTTCCCACCCAGGGCTTGGCCTTATTGCTCAGAGCTCCCCCGCACCTGTCGCCTTCCTTTTCTAGAGCTTCCTGGGGACAGTTAGAACTGATCCCAGCCACAACTCCAGAGGTCTTCAATGCTCCAAAGAAGGAGGCCGTTTAAGAGCTCTGAGTCAGCTCAGCATTTACCTTGTCAGCCTGTGCCAGCACACCGTGTGCTTGCTGGCTCTCCCTGCAGCTTTCCATTCCTCTGAGGCAGCTGTGTCTCTCCTTGTCTTATTAATGACCACACACAGGCTCAGAGGAGGCAGGTGCTTGCCCAAGGTCGTACAGCTTGGAAGGACTAAAGCCAGGGTCTGAATTAAGTCTGTCTGACTCCAAAGCTGCCACTAAGCTCTCAACTGTTTTCAGTTGTGTTAGATTCAGCCCCTTTCTGGGGCTGGCAGTGCTGGGAGTCAGGAGAAAGGTAACACCCCCCACACTACTCCCTCATCCCCCTTACCAGTCCCTGGGAGCTTACATTATGGTCAGAAAAAGCACACACAGAGCCAGTGAATGCTCTGGTGTGAAGGACTTCCGGGGATCTCTAGTTGGATGTTTTAGTTTATTGCAAAGGAAACTAGAAAAGTAGACTGACTTTCTCAAGTTGGCTCAGTGAGATAAGGCCAGAGACAGTATCCGAACTCAAGTCTCCGGTGCTTCTGAACTTAAATGCCAACCAAGCAAAATGATATTGACATGAAATCAGAGCCCAGAAAGATCAGAGTAGGTTCGGAGAGATTATGAAAGGGTTCATGGAGAAGGTGGGCTTGGACTGAGGTCTGGAGGATGGAGTACTACGTAAAGGCCAGGAAGGAGGCAGCCAGTAGGGCATAGGTGGGGCAAAGAGGCAGGAAGCAGGGAGCAGGTGTGAGGACAGGGAATGTACAGGCTACACTGAGGGCAGGGGTGTGTGGGGGAGCAGGGGAAGGCAGCCTAAACATGGAACTTGGATCTGACTCATTCGGGCAGCAGGGAGCCAGGTATGGCTGTGAGCAAGTGATCGGCAGGATGAGAATTGTGTCAGTAAGGTCAGCGGGCGTGTATACTTCAAGGACAGGGTGAGGAAGCTGACACGGTTATCTAGGGAATGAGCAGGGCCCAGAGGATGGTGTAGACACTGGTGAGGTGAGGGGAGGGGGGCAGAGCCCCTCCCCCAGGCTCCATTCTGCCCTTCCACTACCCTTAGTTTCTAAAGGACAAAGTGAAGGGGGGAGGGGGGAAAGTGGCCCAAATAATGTATACACATGTGAGAAAATGTAAAAACGATTTAAAAAAAAAAAAAAAAAGGACTAAGTGAAATGGTGCCTATGCACTCCTCTCTCTCCACAGCCAGGAAAATTCCACACTCTACATCAGCTTCAACCCCAGAGGTCCCAAGATCCACCAAGTCCAGCACATGTACCAGGTATGTGGGGAAGAGTCTTTTTTTTTTTTTTGTCCTCACTCAGGGCCTCTAGCTTACGAGGTAGTCACTCGACCACTTGAGCCACACCTTCAGCGCTTTTGGCTTGAGTTCTTTTTTAGATAGGATCTCAAGCTTTTTGCCCAGGGCCAGCCTCAGCCATGACCCTCCTGCCCATATCTCTCAAGTGTCTGGGATTATAGAAATGAGCCTCTATATCCAGCCAGGAAGAGTCCTGATTTAAGGCCACATTTTTACTCAGGCCTACCTGGGATGGAGGATGCATGAGCCCATTAGATAAATAATTATGCACATAATTTTTGCATCTGCCCATGGTAAATATTATTCATTCCCTCATTCAAAAACCTTTGTTGGCTTGGGGGTGTAGCTCAGTGGTTAGAGCACATACTTAGCATGTATAAAGCACTGCGTTCAATCGCTAACACCAAACAAAACAAAACAAAGCAAAAAACAAAAACACAGGTGTCACTCAAGTGGTAGAGCACCTGCCTAGCAATCACAAGAACCCAAGTCCAAACCCCAGTACTGGGGAGTCGCAGATGACATAAGGCCTTATTCCTTGCCTCAGGAGGCTCCCACTCTAGTAGTTGCACACAGCAGCCCCTTTGCCATCCTGCCAGGGATGGACACTGCTGTGGGACCCAGGCAGAGAGCCGTGCTGTCTATGGGGAGTCATCCAGACCTTCAGAGGTGATGTTGAGGCAGAACTTTGCACAATGCGTGAGGGTTGTCCTGTGGAACACACACCAGAAGGTCATGAAGATAGGGCCCAGTGTGGTCAGTCACTACCTATCAGTCCCTTGGAACTCGGCCAGTGAGGATTGCAGGGCACAAAGGGTGGGTGGCCGTCTGGATGGCTGCCATTCAGGCTCTGCAGTCTCTGACCTCTGCACCAGGTGAGGATCCAGCCTTCTGTCCATGACCACAACGTGCCTACCCTGGAGGCCTTGATTGGGGTGCCACAGCCACTCAGCCATGGGCCTATCACGCACACATGGAGGGTGCAGTTGGTGAGTGCCACCCAGAGCAGGGAGAGAAGGCCTGGGAATGGAGAGTTGGTCCAGGATGCAGCTCTTCGAGTTGAAAGTGGGAAGGGAGTGAGGATGGACAGACCTGAATTCCACAGATTCAGTAAAATATGAAAGTATGAATTGACCAAGGGCCAACAAGGGAGGAAAACTGGGACACCCTGGTCTTATCCAGGGTGGGAAGAAGCCCTGTGGTCACCTGGAGAATGTCTCTATCACCCGCTCATTCCTAGGAGCCTCCTGTCACCTGCCAACATGAGGACCTGAAGAGGTCACCCAGTGCAGCTGAGGTATGGACATACAAGCTGAGAACTGCCCTGGGGGCAGGCAGCATGTGGGGCGGGGAGGCAGGGAGAAAAGAAGAAATGAGGTAGGGTAGACAGGCCTCTGACTGCTGTGCTTCTCACCCTGTCAGCCTTGTCTCCCTGGATCCCAGTTCCGCTGCCCAGTTGCCTTCAGGCAGGAGATCATCGTCCAGGTGTTTGGGACCGTGGAGCTGGTGGGGGAGATTGAGGTAACGTCTGCTGTATCTGACGATGGGAAGTGGTTGGGAGGCCCAGGTTCCTCTGGTGGAGTGGGCGGATCCCCCCCCCCCATGGGCTCTCTCCAGTTTTCTTTTCTATCTTGATGAAATCTCCCAGGTTTACACTATTGTAGAACCATGGTTTGATTGAAATGTGAAGGGTTGTTTTTGTGGGCCAGATAGATTTTGGGTTGGTTGTTTTTGAGACATAGTCTTATTATGTAATCCGGGCTGGCCTCAAACTTGAATTCGTGATCCACCAGCCTCCGCCTCCTGAGTGCTGGGATTACAGGCATGTACCACCATGACCAACTCCTATGGATAGTTCTTATATGTTCCTTATAGGAAAACCTCCCTACCAACAATAACGAGTGCCATAATAGAGAGCTGAGTTAAGGCAGGTCACCCCCCGGACTCAGGCCCCCGCACACATTCTACTTGGGGTGGGGCAGAATTCTGAGGGTCTTCATCCTGTCCTCCTGGTTCTGATGCCACCCTTCCCTGCCCACAGGCTTCCTCCATGTTCAGCCTCTGCAGCTCGCTGTCTATCTCCTTCAACAGCAGCAAGCATTTCCACCTGTATGGTAGCAACGCCTCCCTGGCCCAGGTAGCCATCTTCCCCAGGGACAGAGGGGAAGAGCTGCGTGGAAGCCTGGAGACAAGAACCAGGTGCACAGGGACATTTGGGGTAGGAGGGCTCTTCCCTGGACTCACCTGGCCCTGCTCCCTCAGGTCCTCATGAAAGTGGATGTGGTGTACGAGAAGGAGATGCTGTATCTCTATGTGCTGAGTGGCATCGGGGGACTGCTGCTGCTGCTGGTGATTTTCCTCGCACTGTACAAGGTGGGAGCTTCCAGGAGTCCTGGCACTGCCAAGACAACCCACATAGGGCAGGACCAGGGAGGAAAAAACTGAGGCCAGGAAGCAATGAGAGCCAGAATGGGCCTTGGCCTACCCTCCTTCTACAGATAAGGTCAATAAGACCCAAAGCCAGTGAGTGTCTACCATTACTCAGTCCAGCTATGGCAGAGCCAGGATTAGGTACTGAGAGAGGAAGGGGTGGGAATTGTCCATTCCTCCTGGTGCAGGCACAGTACCTGCCAGCCCTGGAATACAAAGGTAGTGCATAGCACAAGCGTGCCCCCTTCCTGGGTAGAGTCCATAGTCTAAAGGGGAAGACAGACAGGAACAAGTATGATGAGGGCTGTACTGAGGGCCTGTGTGCTCTGGAGCCTGTAACAGAAGGACCTAACTCAGGCCTAACTCTGAGGCCTAGGAGGCCTCACAGAAGAGGTGGCATTTGAGCTAGGATTTGAAGGATGAGTAGAATTAGAGATGAAGAGTAGTAGAGAGCAGATGTTCCATGTAAAAAAAACCTCAAATATTAATGAGATATTGGTGGCTGTAATCCCAGCTACTTGGGAGGCTGAGATCAGGAGGGTCATGTTTAAGGATAACCCTGGCAAATAGTTCGTGAGACCCCCACCTCTCAAATAACCAACCAGAGCAAAATGGACTGGAGGTGTGGCTCAAGCAATAGAGCGTCTGCTCTGCAAGTGTGAAGCCTTGAGTTCAAACTCTAGTCCCACACACAAAAAAAACCTCAGAAATTACAGAAAAGAGAAATCACAGTTTTTATTGCACCTTCAGGGTTGTCATTAACACCCCTTTTGTTCTTATTCCTCCAAGTTCTAATTTTGTTAACGTGTGTATATGTGAGAGAGAGAAAAAGAGAGTTTGTGTGTGTGTTTGTGTGACATAAATGACAGCCAGATGTGGTGGGGTACACAGCAAGATCCTGTCTCAACGGAAAAAGGAAGAGGAGGTGGGGGAAGAGGAGGAGGAGGAGGAGGAGGAGGTGGGGAAGGGAGAGGAGGGGACAAATGGGATAATACTCTGTAGACCACTTGGGAGTTTATGCTTTCCACTTGATGTTGTATCTCAGTGTCTTTCTGCGTGGCCATCATCAGTGCTGCCTCCTGTGGGGGGTTTTGGTTTTTTGTTTATTTGGGGTTTTTTTTGTTTTGTTTTGTTTTAGAGGTTTTTCTTGGTGGTTCTGGGGTTTGAACTCAGGGCCTCACAATTGCTAGGCAGGCAGTCTACCACTTGAGCCACTCCACCAGCCCTTTTTTGTGTTGAGTAGTTTTGAAATAGGGACTCTCAAACTATTTGCCCAGGCAGGCTGGCCTTGAACCGTGATCTTCCTGAGAAGCTAGGATTACAGGCATGAGCCACCGGTACCTGGCTGCCTCCTGTTTTTGAACTTAGCTAGTTTTCTGCTGTCTGGAAGTCCCATCTTTTATTTAACAAGTTGATAAACATGTAGATTGTTTCCCCTTCACATCTATTTTAAATAATGTGACAAAAAAAAGGCTGTTTGTTTGACATAGGTTCTCACTAAGTAACCCAGATTAGCTTTGAACTCAGGATCCTCCTGCCTCAGCCTCCTGAGTGCTGGGGTTACAGGCGTGCACCACCAAGTTTGACTGGTATGTGATATGTTGATGGACCTAAAGAATGAACTACTAACCAGGCACCAGTGGCTCTTGCCTGTCATCCTAGCTACCTAGGAGGCAGAGATCCAGGAGGATTGCAGTTCAGAGCCAGTTAGACACATAGTTTGAGAGACCCTATTTCGAAAACCCCAACACAAAAAGGGGCTGGTGGAGGGCTCAAGGTGTAGGTCCTAAGTTTAAACCCCAATAGTGGGTGGGGAGGGGGAGGACACAAAAAAGGGCTGGTGAAGTGGCTCAAGTGGTAGAGTGCCTGCCTAGCAATTGTGAGGCCCTGAATTCAAATCTCAGTACTACCCAAGAATGAACTACTAAACTTAGAGCTTTTTAAAATAGTCCCAAGATTAAAATATACATGTATATGTACGTGTGTGTGTGTGTGTATATATATATATATATATATATATATATTTCCAAGAATCAAATGTGCACATCCTCCCCTGTTTCCCCATTCCCAGAGCAGACACCATGTGACTGTAACACCCATGACTTTTTAACACCGAGTGTCTTGACATTTTGCTGGCTGACTACTTTGCAGCAAGCGCTCTGTGGACTTGTACTCACTCAGTGTTTGTCTTCCTGCAGGTGGGCTTTTTCAAGCGAAACCTGAAGGAGAAGATGGAGGCTGATGAAGGTGTGCCGAATGGAATCCCTGGAGAAGACTGTGGGCCTCTGGCAACATTTGGGAAGGAGGCCATGGATCTGGACTGTCTAGAGCCCCTCCATGGGAATGAGGCCCAGGATGGATGCAACAAGGACTGAGGCCCAGGCCTGAGGCACAGAGGCTGCAGAATTGGACTTGAGACCTCTGGGGCCAGTCAGCCTCAGCCTGCATTTTTTACTGTGTGTCCTCAGGCAAGTGGTCAGTCTCTCTCAGCCTCAGTTTCCCTGTCTTGAGCATTGAGCTCATTCCTGCCAACCTCCCCTGCAGGTGTATATGAAAATCTGCTGAGGGATGAGCCAAAAGGTTACAGAGGTGAGGCCTTGTAATTACCAAATGGCCCTGGCTTCCACAGCCTGCCTTGGTTTTCTGCCCAACAGAGAACATCTGATCTACGTTTGGAGAAGCCATGATCTCAAGACCCAGTGACTCTCTGGCCCTCACATCTGCCCTTGGAGGTACAAATGCCTCAGACTCCCAGGTCTGTCCCCACACCATCTCCTGCCTGGAATCCACCCCCCATTCTTCCAGAGAGAGAGCAAATCCAACATGCCACTGCATGGCTACTACAAATGCCTTCCTCTTTGGTCAAAGACCAAATTCCTTAATAAGTTTTCCAAGGCTCTGCAAAATTGGGTCACCGTAGCTTTCCCCAGCCTCTCCTGGAGATATGCTACCTGTCCTATGGGGGTCCAGTTACTCCAGCCCCTCTCTGGAGCCGTGCTCTTTCCTGTCTCTCTGCATTTGCCTAGCCATCTCCTCTGCCCAGAACATTCCTGTCCCCTCACTCTCTTTTTATTTTTATTTTTTATTATTCATATGTGCATACAAGGCTTGGGTCATTTTTCCCCCCTGCCCCCATCCTGCCTCACTCTCATTCAGCCTTCAGATCTCAGTGCACACATCATTTCCTCAGGGCAGTCAGATTCCTACATTGTCCACACTTACACCAGCCTGCATTCATCCCTCATCCCCCACCCCCAGGCTGCATATGTTCACTGTTTAATGATTGACTTCATCTCTGCCTTGCCAACACTGGACTCCAGGAGGGTAGGTTGTATATACTTGTCCTGTTCACCCTGGGATCCCTGGTGACATCACATAGTGGTGCACAATTTAATTGAATTGAGGACGGAGCCCGTGGGAGGATGCAGAAAAGGTTTGGATGGGCCCCTGGCACCCCGATCCTCCAAGGCTCAGCCTTCCCAGCCTCTCTTGAGACCTTCACACTTGTTAAGTATCCCTGGGAGACTGAGCTCAAGGTGGGGACAAGTCTGTTCATGTGGAACCCCAACACCACGCATAGGGCCTGTACATATTTATCCAGTAAGTGCGAAATTCTGTCCAATTTTGTGAAGTTTTTGTGCTGGTGCAACACCCAGCCTAGTTCGATGAAATAAAATTTCCCTCCCTACCTTTTCACTAAGCGGGACCAAAATAATCCCCTTTATTTCTTCCTCTTTTTTTTAATTGCCATGATGACCCTCATATCCTCACACTACAGGCTCATTCAAAACAGAAACAGAGAAAGACACCAAATAGGAGAACAGGTTAGGGACATTTAACAGTTCATCAGTATGGGAGTGTAATGTACAGCATGCCTGTAATCCCAGCATTTGGGAGGTTGAGACAGGAGGATCATGAGTTCAGACCAGTTTGGGGTGCATAAGGGGATCCTGTCTCAAAAAAGATGGGAGTCTAAGGAGCTGAGGATATGACTTAGTAGTACAGCGCTTTCCTATCATGCACAAAGCCCTGGATTTGATCCCTGGCACTGGGGGAAAAAAAAAAAGATGGCAGTATGGACCCTTCTCAATCTTTTATTTAAAGCATGGATGGAAGGGGCGTGGCCTTCAGCCCCCCCCATAGAAAAAAAGAGGGGGGACCAGACACGGATGTCTACTAGGACCGCCCCCCAGGTAATATTTAGTGATTAAGTTCAGCCCCAAGCCCGGGACTGGAAAGAGAAACTACTGAAGCCGACTCCATAAGACAGGAGGTGAGAGGCAACCTGTTAGTCCCTCAGGCCCCCTCTGCCTAGAGGGGAGTATGTGAACATTCCTGAGCCTGCCATGCATGACCCAAGACAGTCATTCAAAGCCCGCCAGCCTCCCTGGTGCACCAGCCATTCTGGTTCAGCACCAAGGAACCCTGGGGCTGACTTGTAAGCAAGACAGGAAGGCTGGGCACTGGTGGCTCACGCTTGTAATCCTAGCTACTTGAGAGGTTGAGATCGGGAGGATCACAGCTCCAGGCGAGCCCAGGCAAATAGTTTGTCCATCTCTAAAATAACCAGAGGAAAATAAAGGGTATTGCTTAAGTAGTGAAGCAACTGCTTTGCAAGTGTGAAGCCCTGAGTTCAAACCCCAGTCCCACCAAAAAAAAAAGAGGAGGGAAGAAGTGAGTCCATTTTCCCAGAGGAGAGGCAACATTTAACTGTCAGGAATGTTGCAGGACTACTGTCAGCACATGAATGATCTTTAGGTATCATGAAATGTTTCTAATTCACTCAGGGTTCTCATTTTTAGATTTGGAGGGTTTTGTCATTTTTCCGACAAGGTCTGACAATGTAGCCCAGGTTAGCCTCTTTTTTTTTTTTTTTTTTGGCAGCACTGGGACTTGAACTCAAGGCCTCACACTTGCTAGGCAGGTGCTCTTACCACTTGAGCCACTTTGCCAACCCTTTTTTGTGATTTTTTTTTTTTGAGATTGGGCCTCAAGAACTGTTTGCCTGGTGCCACTTCGAACTGTGATCCTCCTGATCTCTGCCTCCTGAATAGCTAGGATTACAGGTACCAGTCACTGGCACCTGGCTGGCCTCAAATTCTTAAACTCAAGTGATCTACCTGTCTTAGCCTCTTGCACAACTGAGGGTCTTGCTATGTAGCCCGGGCTAGCCTTGAACTCCTGCCTCTGCCTCCCAAGTGCTGAGACTACAGGCATGCACCACCACTCCAGCCTTGTTGCTTTTGAAATGAGGGTCTCACTATGATGCCTAGGAAGGCCTCCAAGTCCTTCAAATGATCCTTCTGTCTCAGTGTCCCAAGTAGCTGAGGCCACAGGTGCACACCACCACACCTGGCTTCCACCTCTTTTCTGTCCATTAATATCTTCCTTACCTTAAAGTACTTCTAAATGTTCCTCATCTCCACATTGCTTCCACCTTCTGGGGTCCATCACACTGACACTAGGCATCTCCTCTCCGGACTTCAAGGGCCTTACCATGCCACCTGACCCCTCCTTGTGACTGACACAAAGGTGGGGCATTCAGTAAGTGTCTTCATTCAGTAGCCTTCAAATGTTTTGATCTCAGGATTCCTTTGTTCTCTTAAAAATATATCCAGGATCTTCAAAGAGCTGTGTGTGTGTGTGTGTGTGTGTGTGTGGTACTGGGATTTGAATTCGGGGCTTTAAGGTGCTCTACCACTTAAGCCATGCCCCCAGCCCTTTTTGCGTTAGGTAGTTTTCAAATAGGGTCTCACATTTATACCCCAATGGACCCGGACTGCAGTCCTCCTGAGTAGTTGGGATGACAGGTGAGTGCCACCATACCCAGCTTTTTTATTGGTTGAGGTGGGCTCTCATGAACTTTTTCCAAGTTGGCCTTGAACTGTAATCCTCCTGATCTTGGCTTTCCAAGTAGGTAGGATTACAGGTGTGAGCCTCACACCTGGCTTTCAAAGAGCCTGTTTTCATGTGGGTTGTATTTATTGATACTTATCAGGTCAGGTTAGAATTCAAAAACAAATTTAAACATAAGAGCAACCAAGCCTGTGTTCCACGGGCCATCAGAGTAATACGTGTTATTGCATGTCATTAGTGTTTAGAAGACTGTACTTGGGCTGGCTGAATGGCTCAAGTGGCAGAGTGCCTACCTAGCAAGCACGAAACCCTGAGTTCAAACTTGAGTACTGCAAAAAAGAAAAAAAAGTATACGGAGCCCAGTGCTGGTGGCTCACGCCTGTAATCCTAGCTACTCAGGAGGCTTAAGGTTCAAAGCTGCCTAGGCAAATAGTTCCCAAGACCCTATCTTGAAAAAACCCACCACAAAAAAGGGCTGGTGGAGCGGCTTAAGTGTAGGCCTTGAGTTCCAAACCCCTATACCAAAAAAAAAAAAAAAAATCTGCATCAGACAGGCACAGTAGTGCACTTCTGTAGTCCCATCCTCTTGAAGCTGAGGAAGCATCATTTGAACCCAGGAGTTCAGAGCCAGCCAGGGCAACACAACGAACGCCATCCTCTCAAAGGTACATGAAGTTCATAAAGATTTTTAAAAGACAGATTTCACTTGAAAAGTAACATTCTGCTTTTGACATGTTTAAAGTTTAGAAACCAAACTGATTTGAACCACGTCCATTCCAGAGCTTGCAGATCATGACAAGCTGGATGAAAATCTGCTCAAGCCATCGTTTGCCCTTTACAAGTTACAAGGCCCTGAGGACAGGTGTGAGGAAACCATCAGAAGCCAGAGACCCAGGACACTCAAAACGTGCCACGCTCATAGGGGAGGTGGAGCCAGGCAGACATGTCAATGTTGCATCTGCTATTAGTCACAGAGAGAGTGACTTTGGGCAAGTCACTTAGCTCTGTAAACTCCATTTTCCTTATCTATGAAATGGGATACATAAATGTGAGGAGCACTGTCAGGCCCTTAGTAGACATCATCTCAAGGTGTGCCCAGCAGCACATCCCCAAGGTGATTCCCCAAGGTGTGACCTGTTCTCAGCAAAGGGCACAACTGGCCATACTCCAGAATCCTCCAGACTCACTGAAGGCACTAACTCCCCATCCTTTCCCAAGGGGCCCAGTGGTAGGAAGGTTGGGACTGATAGGAAAGGAAAGGAGAAAGTGGGTTGGGACAGAGTGGTCCCACCAATCGGTACAGGGGTCCCAAAACGGAGTTTTTTCCTGGCAAATTAGGCCCAGCCTGATGGGAGGGCCATAGGGGCTGCATAGTCCTCACACCTGGGTGGGGTTGCAACTGTACACATCGGCACTGGTCTCAGACCCCAGAGAAAGGGTCTGCACCAAGAGGGGCTGAGGCTCTAGTGGGGGAAGTTATGGGTAGAATGAGGAGCCAGGGAGGGCTGAAAAAAGGCTGGGCTGGAATATCAGAACCCACGTGATTTCTGGTCCAAGGACCCTCTGTTTAGGAAGACAGAGCCGCACTGTAAGTTGAGGGCTTTCTTACCCCTCCACGCTAGGCCCCCAGAGTTTCTGCAGCACGCAAAGCATGGGACATGAACTTAGGCAGATGTGGGCAAATCATGTCTCCTGAACTTCAGGGAAGACAGATTCTGAAGAAAGCCTGAATGTAAAAGCCCTTCCAGATAAGGCCCTTTACTGGCTGGGAATAGTTTTGACTAGCATCTCCCACTGCCCAGGGCACTGTCCACACACACATCTTAAGGACAAGTCTCTTTCACCACATAAGGTTTTTATTGAATTCAAACTCAGGGGCTCCAAAGCCTGAGAAGACGAGGCAGGCTGGGGTTTGCACTGAGGCCCAGGTCCTACCCCAGGGCCCGGCTCCCCACCCTGCCAACACTCTTACCCCCTTCCTGTCTTAACGAGGGTCTCAGCAGCTACCAATCTATGCTACCCCACTCTAAGTGACCCTCCCCTTCCCTCCCCCCTCCCCATCTAGCACTTTGCCAAACCAGACACCCACTAAGGGGCATGCTGCTGCCCAGTCAGCTCTCTGCTGGCCTCCCTCCAACCCTCTTCATAGCCCATTTCCCATTCGTCTCCAGGGCATGGAACTTCCTGCACCCTGGCCCTCTTCTAGAATGCTCAACTCCTCCATTCTCCTCTAGCTTTCTCATGGCCCTCCCTAACTCCCAGTGCTCCTCTCCTTCTCCCACCCTATCCCCCCATGGGGCCGGGGTCAGCGCCGGCCGGCGGCGTGGGTCCGCTGGTGGCGGATGAGGTCGGAGCTCTGCGAAAAGGCCTTGCCGCAGTCATCACACTTGTAGGGCCGCTCCCCGCTGTGGACGCGGTGGTGCTGCAGCAGCGTGGATGAGCGGCAGAAGCCCTTGCCGCACACAGCGCACCGGTAGGGCCGCTCGCCCGTGTGGGAGCGCTGGTGCTGGATAAGTGTGGACGAGCGGTTGAAGGTCTTGCCACAGTCGGGGCAGCTGTAGGTGCGGCCTGGCAGGTGGGTGCGGGCGTGGATGGCCAGCACGGAGCTCTGGCCGAAGCGCTTACCGCACTCCGGGCACTTGAAGGGCTTCTCCCGGGCGTGGCTGCGGGCGTGGGGGATGAGTGCGGACCGCTGGGAGAAGCTCTTGCCACAGATGCCACAGCTGAAGGGCCGCTGCCCAGTGTGCACCCTCTGGTGGCTTCGCAGAGATGAGTTCTGGCTATAGCACTTGCCACACTCAGGGCAGCTGTAGGGCCGCTCATGGCTGTGGGTGCGCTGGTGCCGCAGGAGGTAGGAGCTGTCACCGAAGGCCTTGCCACAGTGCGGGCATTTGTAGGGCTTCTGGCCAGAATGGGTGCGCTGGTGGCGAAGCAGGTAAGAGCTGTCAGCGAAGGCCTTGCCACAGCGGGGACACTTGTAGGGCCGCTCGCCTGTGTGGGTGCGCTGGTGTTTGATGAGGTCGGAGCTCTGGGAGAAGGCCTTGCTGCAGACCTCACATTTATAGGGCTTCTCACCCGTGTGGATGCGCTGGTGCTGGATGAGGGTGGAGCCCCGCCCGAAGCTCTTCCCACAGATACCACAGATGTTAGGCCGAGGGCCCTGCCCACCCCTGGCCCGGCCACCCCTGCGACCTGGACCCCGAAGGCTCCCTGTCAGACCCAGAGGATTCTGAAGCATCTCAAACTGGGGTGTCGAAAGCAGGGCCCCTGTAGGCATCTCAAAAGGTGGCCCTAGGGGCAGGGCTCCTGTGGGCTGCTCCCCAAACCCCTGAGTGAAGGAGTCCAGGGGGTGAACTCCTAGGGGGATGCTCAAGGAACTCTTTTCCTCCGGGTTCAGAAGCATCTCAGCACCTCCCTGGAATTTGGAACTCTGAGCTTCAAATTCAGGGCTTTGGGTTTTGAACTCGGGATTCTGAGGTTCATCTTCAGGGTTCTGGGGTTCATACCCCGGACTCTGGGGTTCATACCTGGAGCTTTGAGACTCAAATTCTGGGCTCTCGGATTCATATCCAGGACTTTTAGGTTCATACCCAGGGCTCCTGGGTTGGTACCCAGGGCTCTTGGGATCATAGCCAGGGCTTTGGGGTTCATACCTAGGGCTCTGGGATTCAAACTCCGGGCTCTGAGGATCCGATTCAGGGCTTCTGGGTGCAAACTCAGGACTTGGGGGCACAAACCCAGGGCTTTGGGACTCAAACCCTGGGCTTTCAGGCTCAAACCTGGGACTTTGGGATTCAAACTCTGGGCTTTGTGGCTCAAACCCAGGGCTTTGGGGTTCAAGCCCAAAAGGTATCTCTTCAACTTCATAGTCCCCACTGCCTTCTTGCTGAGAAATTTCCTCTTCCTCATTCTCACTGGTGTTGCCTGCAGGATCAGAGAATTACAGAAAACCCACATTTTGTGGGAGCCTGGAAGGTCATTTGAGCTCTTAGTTGCCGCAAATCTCTCCCGGCTCCCCACACAGGATCGCTGGCCTTTGAGTAGGTGCTGAAATCCCCACCTCCTCTCATCAGACCCGGGACTTCCAATCCTCACCCCCAGCCCCCAAGTCCGAAGTGTCCAAGCCCCCAGCCCGCTTTCTCTCCCATAGACCACTTTCTCCCGCTCCCCATGTACATTCTTCGGAGGAGCAGTCCCTCCCTCACCTTTAAGGGACCCTTCGGGGCTCCCCATTTCGTCAGGACTTTGCACATCCCGGGACTCGAGGCCCCACGGCGACGCCTCCCGCTCCATCCCAGCCAGCTCCCAGTGCAGCGGCGGTGGCGATGGCGGACGATCCTCCGACCCGGCCTGAGTGTCCCGAGACCGGAGCCCTCGCCACTCGCCTCCTCAGTGCCTCCCGGGGACCCGGTTGCCCAGCCCCGGCCCCCGAGGCCGGACGTCTTGACCCTGGGCCTCTCCGGCCCGCCGGCCCCTCCCCTCCCCACGGCCCCGCCCCCCTCCCAAGGTCTCTGCTTGTCCTGTGGCCTGCAAAGGCCCCCACGCGTCGTGGCCTCAGAGATGAGGGGTTTCACGACTCGCCCTGCCGCTCTCGGCCACCGCTCCCAGCCCGAGACCCCGCCGTCTCGCCCCCGAGCCCCGGGCTGGGCCGCGGCTCGCCGACCCCCTCCCCCTCACAGGAAGTGTCCGTCCGAGGCCAGTTCCCCCCGCTGGCTAGCGCCGCGGCCTCTCTAGGAGCGGCTGGTGGTGGAAACTCGTTGGCATTAACCCTGGACTGGATGGCCCCGGCGTTGGGGTGAGGAAAACCCGGCGCCCCGGAGCCGGCGGGAGGGCCTGGGGGCAATTAGTGTGCCTATGTTCTGGGTCTCCGCCTGTCCAGGGGCCTGTCTGTCGCTCTCTTGGGCCCTGTGTCCGTCAGTGCTTGTGGCCAAGGGCGAGGCGACAAGCGAGACCAAGGTCAGCGAGAAGGAGCGACGCTTCCCGGCGCCAGCGGGGGCGGTGTCTAGCTCCCCTCCCCTCGGGGTCAACTCCGGCCGAGACTCGGGAACCTAAGCGAACTCCTCTTTGGCTTCATCAAGGCTGGGGAGCCTGAAACCCCATCACTGAACTCCATTCCCCTGACACCCGCGCGCCAACCCCACTCCTCCTCGCCCCCTCCCCTCCCTGCGCCTCCCAATCTACCCCTCCCCCTCCGGGTGGGCTATAGATCGTTGCCAAGGAGATAGCCCCGCCTCCGGTTTCCAGAGGCTCCGCCCCTAATTCCCAGAAAGATCAGAGATTGGCCAACGGGGCTCGTGCTCTCTACGCGCAGACTCCACAAACAGCCAGGCGTTAGTGGTCGCCAGGAAACGCGAAGCACCTTTCTGATTGGTTAAAGGCACTCCGGCTGGTTCCAACTCTATCCGCCAGAAGTGCCTGGGGGAGTGAGTGGGAGGGACGTGGTCTGCGTCTCTCCTGGAGTTCGGCCTCGACTTTCAAAACTTTTTCTGAGCCCACTTGACCTCCATTGTGTTTTCTTGAAGAATGAAGGCCAAGGGATCTAAGGGTACACACCCTTCCTACCCCGCTCTCCCCTACACGCCTTCCTCCGCACTTTTCTTCTTCCCGCTGCTCTGGTTGCTGAAGGAGCCAATCCAAAGATCCTCCTGCTGAGAAAACCTCTTTTCTACTAGCTTGCTTCTCCCCACCACCTCCCATCCCCTCCTTCCCGAAAACCTGAGTTAACTCAGTGTCTTGGAGCCTTAAGTTCCTGTTCCCTGAATTTTCTCACTGGGAAGCAGGATTGCTTGCATATGAAGGTGACAGAAGAGTTCCAGAGGGAAACTGGACAGACACAAAAGCACCTGCCCTTTAAGACATGTAAGGACGCTGTAGTCCTGTTTGGCTTGAATGAAGGCTTGTAAGAGGAAGGGAACCTGAGAACTTAACACTGCCCTCGCTACAGCTTTGAATGCAGGAGAAAGTGACCCTGCAAAGACAACTTCATATCATCCAGTCTTGTCCTTTTCCTACCCTTCCTGCTGAAACAAGTTTGGTAGCATTCTTGACAGTTACTGAGCCACAATCTCCTGTGTGAGTGACACAGCAGCCATAAATTGAGTGTCTTCCAGTTGCTGAACCAAACAAATGAAAGGAAGAAGCTGGTTGGGAGAAAAGATGGCATCGTCCACTTTCCTGAAAAGAGATGAGAACAATAATTTGGAGGATGCCAGATGGTAAAAGGCTGGAAAGAAATTACCTCAATAAAGGCTTACAGACTGGTGAAGTGGTTCAAGTGGCAGAGCACCTGCCTAGCAAGCATGAGGCCCTGAGTTCAAACCCCGTTACGGCCAAAACATTTAAAACATAATAAATAAATAAATGGCTTACAGTCAGGCATGGTGGCAATCAGGAGGCTGAGACAAGGGAATCACCAGTTCAAGGCCAACATGGGACCATAGTGAAGTCCTATGAGTCACTATCCCTAACAAGGTCATAGTGAAACTCTATCTTAACTGCCTTAAAAAAAAAAATTAGAGTGTCCATTTGTCCTAAAACCTTTGCTAAGAATGGCTTACACTCAAGAGGCTCTGAGTGGTAAACTCTAAAGCAGGGTTTACCTTCTTGGGGTCCTAAACATCTTTTTGTATCCTAATCCTAGAAACGCAAACATACCAAAGCCCTGAGTTCAAGCCCCAGTACTGAAAAAAAAAAGTGTTCAGTGTGGTGACTCACCCCTGTAATCCCAGTTACTCAGGAGGCAGATATCAGGAAGACTATGGTCTGAGTCCAGCCCAGGCAAAAAGTTAATGAGACCCCCATCTCAACAAAAGGCTGAGCTTGGTGGTATAAATCTAGAACCCCAGCCATGTGGGAAGCATAAGGAGGATGGGATCCAGGCTGGCCCAGGCAAAAAACTTGAGACCCTACCTGGAAAATATCTAAAGCAAAAAGGACTGGGCACATGGCTAGCGTGGTAGAGTACCTGCCTACCAAGCACAAAGTCCCAAGTTCAAACCACAGTACTGCCAAAAAAAAGGCTCACAAGGTCTATTACTAGAGAGAATGAGAAAGAGCTGGTTATTGGGCACCTTCTGGTTATACCTAAAGTCTCCTTTATGTGACAAGTTTCTCTAACCTCCCACTTGCTTATCCATCAGAAAACTCACACAGGGGAGCTGCCATACCTTAAAAACTATGTGGCAGGTCCAGCCACAGCTCTGACACAGTCCACTGCCTGTACTTTTCCTGTCATGAACCACATGTCCCAAGTGTGGCTGAAGTTGGGCCAGGACTTTAGCTGCTATGGCACCAGCATTTCCTTATGGAATTTCAGCCTCCCTAATACCTAGAGAGAGAGTGGCTGCCTTCCATACAGCCTCCTACAGCCCCAGAGTCCTGACTATCCAAGATGTCTTAACAAGCAGCCAGCCTCTACACACACTCAGGGCTCCAAGAAAATGGCAGAGTCTTCTCTTAGTAGGGTCACAACTTGACACAGCATCAACTAATCCAAGACAGCGTAAACTCAGGAGTAGTCTGCTGGACTCATCCCGCTTCTGTGTCCTTGGTGAGGCAGGGTCCTGTGCATTCCTGAGCTGAATGGCTACAGCAGCATCCCTTGGTGTGCAGCAGCCTAAGAGTAGAACCACTCAGTGTGCAGCCAAGACTGGCTTATGGCCTGGCCAATTTAGGTGACACTGCAGGGCCCATGCTACAGAGGTTCTGTGTATAAGGAAAGGACAAATCCAAAGGACATCCGAAGGACAAGTCCTGTAAAAGGCCTCTGTCAGACTCTGGAAGAGATGCCCAGTATTATCAATATGATTTCAGGTTCCCAGGGAAAGACCAGCCAAGGTACAGGCTCCTTTGAGAAGAACAAGAGAAATGGGAGTCTTTGTGTATGGGTAGGTCACTCCCTGGCCTGATATCACCACCATTGTAGCTGCAAAACTAAGCGTACCTAGAAAATGACATTTTGGTAAAAGTGATTCTCAAACTTAACAGGTATAAAATGGGGATTTCCATTCAATAGGGTAAGGAAGAGCCCATAGAGCTAGGTACTTAAATTTTAAAAAGACACTTTTTAAAAGACGTGTGCCAGTGCAAGTGGCTCATGCCAGCAATCCTAGCTACTTGGGAGGCTGAGATCAGGAGGATCTCAGTTTGAGGCCAGCCTGGGCAGAGTTGGAGAAACCCAACTTTAAAAAAAAAAAGTAAAATGGACTGGAGATGTGGCTCAAGCAATAGAATACCTGTTTGGTTTTTTTTTTTTTTTGCATAAAGTCCTGAGTTCAAACTCCAGTCCAAAAAAAATAAAATAAAAAGACACCCCTTGTGATGAGGTCTTACCTTGAAAACATAATCACTGCTCCCTATCTATAGGTACTACGTCCACTGATTCAACCAACCATGGACCAAAAATACTGGAAAGGCTGGGGGTGTAGCTCAGTGGCACAAAACACTTGCATAGCATGCATAAAGCCATAGGTTTGATTCCCAGCACCCCCCCAAAAAAACCCCTGCAAATTGCACCTGTACTAAACAAGTAGAGACATTTTTTTGTCATTGTTCCCCAAACGATACAATATAACAACATAGCACTTACTTTAGGTATTATAAGTGGTCTAGAGATAATTTATTAAAGTATGTGGGAGGAGACATGTAGGATAGAAACACTAGACCATTCTCTAGAAGGAATTTGAGCTTCTGAGGATTTTGATGTCCACAGCGTCCTGGAACCAGTCCCCTCCTAAAGCAGGGTTTACCTTCTTGGGGTCCTAAATATCTTTTTGTGTCCTAATTCTAGAAAGGCAAACATACCAAGGAATTTTAGAGGGGTTTTGGAGTGTAAATTGACCCCTACCATTTTATCACTTTTTTTACATACTTTATTTATTTAATGATACTGAGGCTTGAACTCAGGGCCAGTGCTTGCTAGGCAAGTGCTCTACTACTCATGCCCCAGCCCTACATACCCTTAGTTTAAGTGACCTGGTCAAACTAGGATGGGTGTTGTGGTCATGGACCTTACTTCTCCAGCTGGCCATTTGGATGGAGCTTATTCTAGCTGATAAAGACAAAAGCATTTCTTCTCATGCACCAGTGAAGCCTTGGGGAAAAACCCTTACCCTGGCTTAAATCACCTCAGGGGCTGAGCCTCAAAGACTTGTGGCAGCAGAAAGTGAAGCCCTATGTTTGGTACAAGTATTCATGCCAAGAAGTGAACAGCTGGGAATAGAGTGAGAATGGGTTGAGGCTTAAGGGGTTCATGATCAAAGATTGAACAAATGGTAGAGTTGGATGAGAGTAGAAGCAGAGGAGTTGGGTCTGGTTTCTGAGCCCTGAGCAAGCTTTGCAAACTTCAAAGCACTCTGAGATCTTTAGGCAGTAATTATGGTGCCCTTAATTGGCAAGTTGAGGGCAAGGGCCACTTTGGGCTGGGACTGAGCTGAGAACTGGTGCTGCAAGCTGACTTCCCCCAGGCAGCACTGAGTGTTGGGGAGTGACTGGGACTGTCCACCAGGAATTAAAAGCTGGTGCAGGCACCTCTTCTCACTCCACACCCCCTTGTGACAAGGAAGCACACAAGCCAGTCCTACACAGAAGAGCTTAGGGTTAGGGAGACCTTGGTGTAAGGCTAGATGTATGGAGTTAGTTAATTACTTCACTTGAGCAGTGTCTTGTTCCTCTTTATAAATTTTTCCAGGGGCTGGGGATGTAGCTCAGTGGTAGAGCACTTGCCTAGTATGTGTAAGGCCCTGGGTTCCACTCCAGCATTGCAAACAAACTAAAATGGTTTCTAGGTTGAGAAACCTGACATCTTCCTCCCAAAGGAAAGCCAGACACAGGGCTGGGATGGGTGAACAGCCAAGTGTGCACAGGCCAGCAAATGACACAGCCCTTGTCACTACTCTGAAGTGTAGTCTCAACTGACCCAGGCAGGACAGGAAGGGTCTACCATGACTGGCTACTCTCATCACCTGCTTAAGAAGCTAAACTAACCAAAAAGGAATTTGTGGTAGACGGATTCTGTGCAGATCTTGGGAGCAGATGGTATGTTCCCTTTTGGCTGCAAATCTAACCCCAAACATTTCTGGCCTGCAACCCTTTGTTCATGATTGTGGGTGCCAAGAGACTAAAGATGCCAAGTTTTGTTTGCCCTGCAACTCTCATCTCAGGTTGGCTTTTCCCTGGCCTGGTCTGTCATGTGACTGACCCAGTGTAGGTCAGTGCCTGGTGTTTCAGATACCCCTAGTACCCTGGTTAAGAGGCTGGAAAGGGCCTGGTGCCGATGGCTCATGCCTGTAATCCTAGCTACTCAGGAGACAGAGATCAGGAGGGTTCAAAGCCAGCCTGAGCAAATAGTTCCATGAGACCCTATCTCAAAAAAACCCATCACAAAAATAGGGCTGGTGGAGTGGCTCAAGGTGAAGGCCCTGGGTTCAAGCCCCAGTGCAGCAAAAAAAAAAAAAGGCTGGAAAGGAACTCAAGTGATATAGTAAAGATAGCAGCAGAGCAGCAGACAGATGTGCGTACCTGTGGTCTGTTACTTGGGGGGCAGAGGCAGGAGGGTCACTTGAGTCTAGGAGTTTGAGGTCAACCCTGACAGACCCAGTCTCTTTTTAAAAAAAAAAAAAAAAAAAAAAAGCAGGAGGCTGAGAGTCTAAGTGTGTGTGACTTTTTTTTTTTTGGTGGTGTACTGTGGATTGAACTCAGGACCTCAGCTTGCTAAAGCAGGCTCTCTACCACATAAACCATACCCCCAACCCTTTTTGCTTTATTTTAGGAACAAGGTTTCCCAGTTTATGCCCAGGCAAGTATGGACCTCAATCCTATTTATGCTTCCCAGGTGGCTGGGATGACAGATACATACCACCACACCCAGCTATTGGTTGAGTTAGCTAACTTTCTGCCTGGCTGGCCTCAAACTGTGATCCTCCAGATCTCTGCCTCCCAAATAGCTGGAATTACAAAAGTGAGCCATCACATTCAGTAGTGTGTGACTTTTGGCAGGTTACCTAGGCTTTCCTAGTCTGTGGCCCTAACTGCAAAAGGATGGAAAAGCTAAGATTTTCTCTAGTTCAAAAATATAGGTGCCCCCCCTAGTTGAGTTTAAGGTGGCTAAGCAAGCCCAAGTCCCAGGGCAGACCCCAGAGGAATGAAGGGAGCTCTTAGGGCATTCCCTTCAAAACCAAGAGCTGCTACCAGCTGAGAATAGTGCTACTACACAGAAGCACCACTTGGTGAGATCAAAGACTCAGTCCTGAAGGCCTCTTCCTGAGTGGGCTGTCCTCTACAAGCAAGTTGCTTCCTTTCCTAGTTACAATGGTGAAAGGAACTCATGGACAAGACAGTACTTTGTAAATCATAAAACCTGATGCAAGCAAAGAGCTGAAATAAAGCTTGTTTTTACTTCCCTCCTGCCATCCTCTAATGTATAAGCCATTGGGGAAAACCTAAACACCAAAGACCAAAATTTATGAGCTCAAATGACTCCAGGAGCCCAGCAAACAAGTAAATGTGTGGAAAAGAACAGATTAAAGGCCTGTTCTGTCAGAGACATGTGTTCAAGAAATACTTCACTTGGTGCACACCTGAAATACCAACACTCAGGTGGTTGAGCAGGATTCTAAGTTCAAGGCCAAATTGAGCTGCATAGGGAGATCTTGCCTTAGAAAACAATTAAACAAAAAAACACTTTGCTTTCTGCTTTGCTCTCCTTTAAAACACCTGAAACACTGAATATTAGCTGTGAGGAATAGGAAGTGAGGCTTCATCAGAAGCTGGTATACAGTTGGGGCTGGGATGAATGGGGACCTAACTCCATAGCTTGGTGGTTGCTGCTTGGCTCCCACCAGCTGTGGTTTTTATAGGAACTCAGGTCAAGTTGCCAATCTTTGGATTTTTCAAGAGAAGCCAAAAACCTGGATTCTTGTGTGAAATACTTATTTTTACATCTTGACCATTAATTTATTGCTGGAAAGCTGCCTGGGTCAATGTTAAGGTGAGTACAGGCCCAATTCACACAGGGCCATCAGTCTGAATTTCTGCATTAGAGGGAACAAGTCAAACAAGTTTCTCTGCAACCTCAATTCTCTGCACACTTCTGAGCCAGAGAAACTGCCCTGCTGCCCATGTGGAAGTCTAGCAGGTTTCTTTCCTAAGCCCTGCCTTGCAACGGGAGCTCCTAGAGCCTGGGGCAGTCAGGAGCACCGTTTCTACAGATGATGTGATAAGGGATTATAAAGTTGTCCTCAGTCCCAAGGACCAGTTCTTGCTAGAAATTCTGTAACTTCCGTAGAGGCTGCCACAGAGATTCATGTCCGCAAGTGTATCTGAGGCCTCAGGTAATGTCTAGATCTTCACCCTTTGCCTTTAAGACCACCCCCCACATTCCTGGAATATCTCTGGATAGTGCTGGAAGCCCACAGGTGGGTCCAGGTCCCCTCTGCCAGGAGCCAGGGACCCAGGAAACCCACTGGACCCCCGGCCCCCACGGCTCCCAGCACCAGGACGATGGACCCACTGGTGCTTGGCCATAGCTGACTTCTGACCGAAGCATCTGCCACACTGTGGACAGGGATAGGGGCGCTCGCCACTGTGGGTCCGCCTGTGGGCTGCCATTTCCGAACTCTGCCGGAAGCAGCGCCCGCAATCTGGGCACGGGTAGGGCTTTTCACCCGTGTGGGTGCGCACATGGCGCCGAAGGTCTGAGGCATGGGCAAAGGCACGGCCGCAGTCCTTGCAAGGGAAGGGAGTGGAGCCGCTGTGTACCCGCTGGTGCTGGTGGAGTGCAGAGCTCTGGCTGAAGCAGCGGCCACAGTCCGCGCAGCAGTAGGGCTTCTCACCGGTGTGGACCCGCAAGTGCGTGGTGAGGGCAGAGCGCTGAGTGAAGGCCCGGCCACAGTCAGGACAGCGGTGAGGCCGCTCCCCGCGGTGGATGGCCCGGTGCTTACTCAGGGAGGAGGCCCGGCCGAAGCCCTTGTCACAGTCTGGGCAATGGAAGGGCTTCTCGCCCGTGTGGGTGTAGAGGTGTTCCACCAGTGTGGAGCGCCAGGCGAAACTCTTCCCGCAAACGTAGCAGCCATGACGCCGGTCTGCGCGAGGGACAGAAGGATGGGCACGAAGTGGGGGGCGACCCCGGTGAGGTGCCTTGGATAGCGACTCCAAGCTCTGAGGGAGCCCAGCAGACAGGAGATGGGGAGCCTGATGGCCAGGAGGCTCAGCATCTGTAGAAAGTGTCTTCCACAGTGCTTCAGCCGCTTCTCTTCCTCTGCTCTTCTCCTTGTTTCTGGAACCTGTTGGGAGACAAGGGGAGGGCTTAGACTCTGACTCAGCATTGTCTTTGAACCTCACACTCAGGAGGTGACAAACAGCCGCCTCTGGATCCAGCTGCCTCAGGGACTCAGTATATTAGGCAAGGGATCCTGGAGTGACTGCAGAGACAGAAAGGGAGGGAAGAACCTTCTGCCTAGGGGCTGGGGAAATGTCACTGGGGAGGGATTGTGTGTGTGTAGGGGGGAGTGACAACTGAGCTGGATCATGCAGGATGAGTGGAAGGGGCATAAAGGCATGATTGTGGTCAACTTTGACAAGTTCAATGGGGCAGGCACTTAGCAAAGGTTGACAGGAAGAACTGAAGGAAAAAAACCTGGAAGTTGAGAGAAGGAAACTACAGCAAGGGAGGTGGCAGAACAGAGTGATGATATGGGGTACAAGCAACAGAGCTTAGTAACCCATAGGGGTGAGGAGCTCAGAGCGGACCACAGGCAAGCCCCACATCCCAGCCCCTCTCCTAAACTGAATCCAGGCACAATGGCCTTCGCTGGCAGGGGCCAGGCACAATGGCCTTCGCTGGGAAAGCAATTCAGGGAGAAAGGTGGAGTGGGCAGACAGCACCACATCTCCATGAACTTAAGTACCCAATACTTCACCTGAGTCCACTTGCGCCCGACACCTGGCCACCTCTGGATCCTGAGCATCCGGACCCCACAGTTCGGCCTCTTCCTCCACCCAGGAGATGAGCGCTGGCTTGGTGCCTCCGCCTCCTGGGGGTAAGAACGCAAAGCCCACGCTGCGAGGAGGCCGCCCCATGCGGTCCCGACTGCCCGGATCTAGGGCCTCCCACTCCACGTGCAGGACCCAGGGTGAGCGGGAAAGTGGGCCCAGGCGTGCAGGAGGGGCCTCACCGAGCGCGCCCAGGAGGCCGTAGGTCTCGCGCATCACGTCCCGGTACAGAGCCCTCTGCGCGGGCCGCAGACTCCCCCACTCCTCCGGGGAGAAGTACACGGCCACGTCCGCGAAGCTCACGGGCCCGGGCTTCCTGCACGCCGGCCCTGCCCCGCTTGGCTCCCGGGCGGGGAGCAGGGCCAGAGGCGGCGCCATGGGAACCGCTAGCCTCGGCGACAGGATGGCCACCTCCCCTTGCCAGGCGGAGGCGTGGCTCTGCGGAGCGTCTCCCGCTCGAGAACGTCTCCCAACCCGCGCCGGGGGATCGGGCATTAGAGCCGAGAAGGGGCAGAAATCGGTCTCTTGAGGGTCCACGACAGTGGATGAAAATTGAAAGGTGAGGGGGGGCGGGGTACATGACCAGAACCGGAAGATGTGATTATAAAAATGGCGGCAATGCGCCCTCTCGAACTTTGCCCCCACGCAGTCGTGCCCCAAGCGTCGCCACCCGTTGTTTTCTGGGTCGCTTTGTCTTCCAGCCCTCATCCAAAATGGCCGCGACGGCTACAGGTGCCAGTCTGAGAACCCGCCGTGCTGCCACTGGCCTGGGTAGGCCTGAAACAGAGCTGCATCCCCACTGGGGTTAAGGTACTGGAGAGACTCTAGGAAGGCCGGAGCTGGAGGGAGCTAGTCTTTGGCTCTCCATGAGTTTAGGCGTTTAGCTTTCGTCTTCTGGATCGTTTATAATTCAGGACCAGCCCATTACTCTCTTGATATGTACCAAGTTTTTGGATTTTTTTCTGAGACAGGGCCTCTTTATGTAGCCCAAGCTGACCTCAAATTCGGGGTGCTCCAACCCGAGCCTCCTAAGTGCTGGCATGTACCACCACTCCCCTCTTCCTCATTATCATAAACATTGAATGACACTAGGGCTGAAGCCGTAGAGCACCTGCTTTCGCAAGCATGAAGCCCTGAGTTCAATCCCAGTCCCATCAAAAAAAATTGGGGGGTGTATGACGTACCAGCCATGTGTTGAGGGCAAAATATGCAGAGTAGATAAGAGAACCTTTTCATTGGAAGCTTGTTAGAAAGTAGGATAAGGTCTGAGAAAGGAGAGAAGGACCCTATTTTTCCTACAAGCTGATCCTCCTCCCACCAGTAGTTGAAGCCTGGCTCCAGAACACCCCATCACAGATCCTCCTGCCTGTAAGGAAATATAGGCCCCAAAGTGACCACGTGGAGAGGAGTGATCTGGCCAAGAGATTCTTTATTACCGCATAGGAGAGGGAGAGAGCAGAGAGCCAAGAGAGAGAGAGGGAGAGGGGGAGGGGAAGGGAGAGGGAGGCTTAAATACCCCTCAGTGAGACTCAGCATGATCTGATTGGTTAGGATCTTATGGTTCATGCTGATTGGAGGTTGGGGCAGAAGGAGGATTCAAGCTAGACTTGAGGCAGGACCATGACCCTGGGAAACGGAAGCTTAAAGGTGCAGTAAAAACTGAAACCCATTGGCGCCATTGTTGCCAACACTGCCTCCCTGCCCGGCCTGGATGTCCCACTCGCATGTTGGTTTCATCATGGCTCAAACTGAACTCTGAACTCTTGGTGGTAGAGTAGTTGCCTATCATGTCCAAGACCCTGGGTTTGATCTCCAGCACCACCAAAACCAAAACAACGAATGTCACCATTTCTACTCCAGTCAGACTCTTACACTTTGTGTTCCCACATGCTCAAACGTGTCTTGCTCTAGAGAGACTTGGTTCTTTTCTTTGGGAAGGCTAACTCAATCCCCTGGGACCCAAGGCCTAAACTCCTGGGATTCCAATGTCAGGTCTGTCCACTCACCCCTAGAGGCAGAGTAAGCACTTAGCCTGTCTTCAGCCATCTTTGGGGTACAGACATGAGCTATAGGTTTAAACAGACAAAGGCAGGGGACAAAGGTATGCATAAACAGTTCTAGTCGTAAGTGTGATCTGGTTGGTCATTATCTCAATTCTTGTTCTTGGAGAGGTTCCACAGTTGTTATATAGAGACTAGTCCATCCTCAGGAGGGTCTACTGGGGGTAGTTTTGGTCCCTTGTCATGAAGATGTTATCATCTGTCATTCATGGAAACCACTGTGATTGCAAGGTGACTCAAAGAGAATGGCTTAGAGCAAAAACAGATGAAAAAAATGGAGACATGCCGTGCTTCTTCCTTCTTTTAGTTAATACATGGACCTGAGTAAGGAGTCAGTGCTTTTCAATAAAAGCAGTTTAAGCACCTCTCACAACATTACTTCACACACTTCCTGAGAAGGGCTTCACCTCTTCAGTAGATCTGGTATCTTGTATCTAGTCTGGAGCTTCTGTCTCTGCCTTTTTTATTTATTTTTGTGTGTGGCAGTGCTAGAGTTTGAACTCAGGGCCTCACACTTCTTAGGCAGGCACTCAACACTTGAACCACTCCACCAGCTGTGTTTTGTGTTGGGTGTTTCTAAGATAGGGTTTTAGGAACTATTTCTTTGGGCTTACCTTGAACTGTAATCCTCCTGATCTCTGCCTCCTGAGTAACTAGTATTATGGGCAGGATCCTGACACTCTGCAGCTGGTGGATGCTTCTCTCCACACCTGTGGAAGCTGAGGAAGTAAAGAGTTGATCACAGCAGAGGAGAAAAGAAAACAAAAAGTTTGAAAAGGGTCAGTGTAGCCAAGGAGAAAGGCTTGGCAGAGTGGTAGTGGCTAGAAGGGATAAGGATGCAAAGTTGCCCTAAGGGTTGACCTCAGCCCTAGCTCTTCCATTCTCTTAGGCCCTTGAGGATCACAAGAGAACAATGGCAGCCAGTTGGACACACATTTATAATCCCAACATTCAGGAGGCTGAGGCTGGAGGATCAAGTTTGAGATAAGCCTGGGCTACACAGCAGGACCCTGCCTGAAAAAGAAAGAAAACCGGTTGCTGGTAGCTGAAGCCTGTAATCCTAGTTCCTTGGGAGGCTGAGAGCTGAAGGATCACAGTTCAAGATAAATCCAGGGAAAAAGCAATACTGCATCTCCAAAATAATCAGAGCAAATTGGGCTTGTGATAGAGTGCCTGCTTTGCAAACGTAAAGCTCTAAATTCAAACCGCAGTCCTACCCCGCAGAAAAGCAATGACATCTTGTCAACTCTCAGTGCCCATCACTCACAGGACTGGAAGAGCTCTGGGTAGTACTGGAAGCTCTATGGGGGGGTCTGGACTCTCTGTATCTGGGATAGAACCAGATACAGAGTTCACATTCCTGGGGTTGGCCCCTGATACCAGGGCGGAGGGTTTCTTTGTGAGCCTCTGACTGAAGCACAACTCACAGCAGGGACAGGCACAGGAGCCCTTGCCTTTCTGGTCCACCGGCAGTATTGTTATGTGCTGGTGTGAAGTGTTGTGGGCTGGTGTCAAGGGTCCTTGCCTTCACCAGCCAGGGAACTGACTCATGAGGCAGCTGATTGATTTGTGAGTCAAAGCCGGTATATGAAGTAGGATTTATTAGAGAGAAAGGAAAGGCCACAGCTAGAGCAGTGTGGCAGAGCCCAGAAACCGGTGTGTCCCTGCTCAGGTGAAGGCTGGGGTTTTTATGGATGTTTTAACTCTGGGTTTAGGTAAGGATTAGGTGGGCTCTTTTCATTGGCCATGGATTTGCGGACTTTCTTAGATGAACTGGTTTGTTTGCCTCTTATTGTGTGTGGGGTGTAGCAATCTTGAGATCATTTTGCTTAATAGATCTGTGGCAGAACTATCAGACCCTGTATCTCCTCTCAGGATGCAGAAATGCAGATTTATAACTCCTTCTCAGGATGCAGGAATCATATTGCTCTCCATGGGGGGATGGGATACTCACCTGCCCTTTAGGTCTCCAGACCCAACAATTTGGTGACTTCTTCCACCTACCTTATTCTTTTTTTTTTTTTCCACCTTATTCTTTATTAACTTTTTTTTTTTTTTTTTTGGTGTGGGAATGGAACTGAAAGCTTTGTGCTTAAATATCTTTCCTGACATCTATGATAGCTCCACACATGTGCTAGCTCCTAGGTTAAAGACATTGGGCTGAATCCCTCTCATCACATTAGGGTTCCGGGTCATTTTACTGAAGAGAAAGCCTGGGTGTTACCCAAGGTCACACAACTCATGAATAGTCACAGGTCTTCAGAGTCCTTAAATGAGAGCTTTTCCTGCCTCCTGCAGGCCTATTCAAGAAAGCGCACTGTGAACACTTGCATTGTGCTGACCTCTGCTGACCGTTGTATAAAACATTAGATGAATTTCTAGATGATTTATTTTATCACTCCACTTAGGATTTCCTAAGTGCCTTAGAATTTCCCAATGGCAAGTTCTCCAAACAGAAAACTATACAAGAGCTGCAGTGGATTCTGTGATATGACTAAACAGATTAATAGTATTAATTTGTTTAATCACTTACTATGTGCCAGACCACTCTAAGGGCTCCAACACTGCAGAACTAGGTCCTTTCATGGATCAGGAAGCTAAGGCCCAGAGAGGTTGTCTTGCCTCAGGCCACAAAGGCAGTAAGTGGAGAAGTCAGGATTCAAACCCAGACAGTCTGACTCCACAGCTCATGCTGGGACGCCTCAAATTAGTGAAGGCAAAATTTCAACAACCAGTGCTATTGAAATACGGGGGAATACAAGAAGCAGGGACCTAGGGAATCAGAGAATATGCTGCTGGCCACTTACACAGTCCCACAGTCATATAAATACAAAAACTGAAAATGAAGGCTAGGATGTGTATTAAAAAGCAAATAAGAGTATGGTGCCAGTGGCTCATGCCTGTAATCCTGGTTACTTGGGAAGCTGAGATTGGGAAGATGGCAGTTTGAGACTAGCCCAGGGCTGAAGATGTGGTTCAAATGGAGAGCATCTGCCTAGCAAGCAGGATGCTGTGAGTTCATAAACCCCAGTACCACACACATACACACACACAAATAAATTTATGTTTTGAAAAAAAAAGGAAATAAATTTATGTTTTGAGGTCATGTAATAAGAAAATCATTTCTAGCTGGTGGGATGGCTCAAGTGATAGAGCACCTGCCTAGCAACTGTGAGGCGTGAGGCCCTGAGTTCAAACCCCAGTTCTGCTAAAACAAAACAAAAAACAAGAAAATCATTTCCATTGTTTAGGAGGTATGTGAAATTTTCCAGGAAGAAGGGTGACAGAGGCTTCACAAAAGGTTCCCTGTGGTCATTGTCTCTGGTAGGGTCTTCTTGTTCAGGCCCTTGAAGATTTAAGCCTGGGGTCCCCTGCTGGTCTCTGGCCCCCAGCTTTCTTAGGCTATGTTCTGTCAGATGGTGTTTTCATGAGATGCCCTGTGGGGGAAAACAAGCATTCTATTGAAGGTGCAGGGCCATGCTTCCCAGACC